AATATTCTTCATCCTTTCTTCAGTTTATTTAAAATGTCAAAAAATATATATATAAATTATCATTTGAATATTTGATAATTTGCAATTTTAAATTATTAACACTACTTGGTAATATAGAGTTTAAGTGATGAAAATGAGTATGAGGGAGGGGTTTCTAGCAGCCAGGTAGTAAAGACTTTTTCTCTCCCCTGATTCTGATCCTTAGACTGGTTAACTGGTCGTCTTCCGTCTCCACAATTACGGTTGTCCTTTTCCGACTTTTACCAAAAAGTGTTGCCATTTCATCCTGAGGTTTAAAAATCTCAACATGGAAGGCAGCTCAACATCGGCGACCGGGTGATTCAATGGATGGCCGGTAGATGACTTCTCAGCCGGTCGGGACAGTATTTGGGTCAGTCTCCCTTGACCGCATCAACACTGCAGGAGTCCTTTTTAAGGTTTCTTGGTGGCGATCCCATCCCATTTTTAGCCCCAACCCCCTTCCAGTTGTTACGTTCAACCAGCATATCCCAAGGGGGAGCTTTTGGTTATAACTATGACTAGGTTTATGTACGCTATTTAAAATGGCTTCACATTGCTCGCCACCAAGAAACCCTGAAAAGGACTCTTGCAGTGTTAACGCGATCACATGAGACAGACCCAAATACTGTTCCGACCGGCGATAAAGCCGTCTACTGGCCAGCCAAAGGACGACCCGGTCGCCGATGACTTGGTGGCGAGCAATGCTAAGCCATTTAATATGGCACAAATAAACCTAGCCACATTTATAACCTAAAGCTTCCTCATGGGGAGGATGCTGATTGAACGTTACGAATTTTATTTTTCCTGCAAAGCAAGTCAAGTCCAGGCACACCAGCAAGGCAGATCCCAGATACCATGTTCAACCTCGTAAGAAGTTAGAATTAAGGTAACCGTAGCTGTTACACCACCCATGGTCAAGGGCATTCTCTGGGGTGATACAGTCAATTTTACTAGATGTCACTTTTTCTCGCCAACGCTACTCGTGGTATTTGTTTTAGGCTGGATCGATATAGGAACCTAGGTCAATTTATAAGATCCCTGTGTGGGTTCCGGGCCCCATTGTGGGGAAAACAAGAATAGACCCACTGCCTATCCAAAAGCATGTCGTAAGAGTCGACTTATTGGGGAGCTTTCTTCGAAGTCGTAGTGCATCTGCCGGAAGGGCAAGGAACCAACAGTCTACATTAAAGTGAATCAGATCTGTAAAACTGATGCACACGCAACACTCAGGTTCTGGAGCAGGACTGCAGTTCAGAGTGGACGAACAACCAGAACTTTCCGCCAGGGTGTACAGCTGGTGAACGCAAAGAAGAAAAAGGAGAATTTAAAAGAATACGTTTGGGGGGTGGGAATCAAGGCCGGGGGGAGGGCCTTAAGCTATATAAAGCCCAAAGGCCGCTGTCGTTTTAAATTATAGCAGTTAATCTCATACCTGGCTCGCTAGCTCAGCTGGTTAAACAGCCTGCTCGGCGACCGCGTGACATACTCCTTGTGGTCCGAGTTTGCGCAATGGGGTAGGCAGAAAAGACACATATTTCCCAGATTTACGGTATCTCTAACGGAATCAAGGCCAAAGGGTTTCGATGTCCATAGTACCAAGCCAAGGGGTTTCTAACTCTGTGTTTCTGGGTCAGTTTGAAAACAAAAATATATCAAATAACTAAAATATGTAAGTTAATTAAAAGGCCGTCTTAACGCATGCGCCCGCTTGGCGCCTGCCCGGAGACCCTACTAATATAGACACCCAGTGCTAATCTGTGTGTGTCAAATGACTTGCCATTAAACAAAAATATGTTTCACGTTTAAATCCTTTCTGTTTAATATAAAGTTGAAATATACCCCCCCCCCCCACCAACTCTCTCTCTCTCTCTCTCTCTCTCTCTCTCTCTCTCTCTCTCTCTCTCGCTATCTCTCTCCCTCTCTTTCTTTCTCTCTTTCCTTCTTTCTCTCTTTCTTTCTCTCTCCTCCCTTCTATAATGAATTATATATGCGTGGGCGATATACTAGATTGTAAGTGTGATTCATCTAAGTCCCCGGCGTTGGACACAACCTAAACTTGGTGGCAGTAAAGGCAGCTAAAAGTTGTCTACAATCGGTAAGATTCTTTGACTTTGTTCGGCATCTATGTTCATTTTTTTTTTTTTGCTCATTGGGGGAGTTTAATGACATCGTCTTTAGGAAGAGATTGTGGGGTCAAGCGTCTGTTTGACACATGCTAGTCAGCCTAGTTTGATACTGGGAATGCGCTGTTAAAGAAAACAAAACAGGCTCTGTGTTCCCTTTGATCTGACATCAATAGCTGGTGAATACAAGAAGAGAGGCAGTGGGATTAAGCACCCCCCAAAAATGGAACACCTGGAAACAGTCTTTCTCAAAATTCTTTGGCATTGCGAGCTGCACAAAATAAAATAAAAACAGTCAATGTCCGCCAGTTATAAATTGTGAATATAGTCTGCGTCTTAATAGATATGATTCCCCGTGTGGGCTCTGTGGCCCTATTATAGGGAAAAAACAAGAATAGAACCACTGCCTACCCAAAAGCATGTCGTAAGAGTCGACTAATCGGGAGCTTCCTTAGAAGTCGGAGTGCATCTGCCTGAGAGGCAAGGAACCAGTATTCTGCACACAAATGAGTCAGATCTGTAAAACGGATGCACACGCAACACTCAGATTCTGGAAAAGGACTGCAGTCCGAAAAGTGGATAAACAGCCAGAACTTTCCGCCAGAGTTTACAGTTGGTGAACGCGAAGAAGAAGAAGAATAGATATGGTGGATCAGCAAGCTGCCAGAAGAGGTTCTTCTCAGTAAATGCGGCCGGCGTGATGTTGACCACATCACCAACCGAGGGCCGATTGGTTTATAAATATAGGTCTAGCCCTATATGCCCAATACGCATAAAGGCGTGGAAAAGAGACAATAAATTTTCTTACATTTATTTTCGCAAGCATGAAGATGGGCATCAGATATCAAGGACACGTGAAAGTTCGGAAGGAATGAGTGACTTTCCAGCCTACAGTGATGATAGCGATGTTCTGCCAGGGACATGCCAACAATCCGGATTAAGGGCTGTTGACGTTGGTACTTTCATACTAATTTGGTACTATTTCACCCTTGGCCAAGCAAAACTGTACTTTTCGTACCACTCCCAAATCCTCACCTAGCAATAGGTGTTTCGTCCTTTTTAGGACGAAATTTTTTGTTACTTGAAGCCCCACTCTGGCTTTGCCAGGGACCGCAATATAGGCAGGCCATAAATATGGCCGATTGTCTGAACGCGGTTTCTGGGACCTCTCCACGGCGATCCTCATCCACATGGTGGCACTTTGTGTCATCGGGTGTTTATCGCTTGTGTGATGTCCTAGTGGGGTAGAAAGTCAGTCAGTCAGTCAGACCACTCCCAATGTTTTGGTACGTTTTTAGAAATTGTGCATCCCTATTTTAAATTCTGCAGTTTTACGCTGGATCCAGGAAGCGTTACTGAAGGAAGACTGATGCCAGTTCTGCCAGTGGTAGTGTAATTTTCCGGCATTGTTAAAGATGAACATTAAGAGCTAATTAATAAATAATGCATAAACTAAAAGTACAATATCAACCATCTAATGCAGAAATAAAAAGACAAATATTGGTTTAAAATTTCAGAAAAAAAGTGCGAAGATGAAAATCGCTTTCCATTAGTATCAACATTTATGCTTAATCCTTTAAAATTACTCGTTTTACTGGAACTGCAGTTTTGTTCTCTCTCTCTCTCTCTCTCTCTCTCTCTCTCTCTCTCTCTCTCTCTCTCTCTCTCTCCCTCTTTCTACTAACCTGGTACCTTTTCAAAAAACATTTTGTACTGTCACTACTGTCGGTATGTACCACTTTTAAGGCGGTGTAGATATTTGGTACTATTGCCCTAAAAATTTTTTTGAAAGTTATTAAAGCAAACCCTTAATTAGTCTCATTGTCGACAATGAGGTTGTGGGTCTACGCATTGTTTCCTCCAAAATGAGGAAATTATTATTCCTCCTCCCACACACGCCCTTCACATTTTCTAGGCAAAATGTATGTGTGATGGGCAGGGGGTACTCTTCCTTTCACTAAATTAACAACAAAGGGGGGAGGGGTGGTCTGTGGGGATGGGGGATGCCACACCAATCTTGTCAACTTAGGTAAAAAGATGGGGGAGCGTGGCTCACTCTGCTTGTTCACCTTTAAATCACATAATTGAGGGTTTAGCCCCCCCCCCCCCCCAAACCACGCTTTCCTTACTAATTTCCTACACAAATAATTAGGTGGAAAGGGCGCAAGAATGGGAACACTCAGGTCCTTGAGTGCCCATACATAAAAAAATTAACTGAGGGTGGGGGGGGCACTTAATTGCTTCCAACTCGATAATTGTAAGGTGGCTTTGATCCCAATTTTTAACTAATTAAACACATTATATTTTTAAAGTATTTATTTGTTCTTTTCACATTGCCTCAAACATGTTATAATATTTATTTGTCAATCAGCAAATAATAATAATAATTATTATTAATGTGCTGAATGTCAAATATGTATAATAAAACACTTGCACTAATATTAAATGTATATACGTAGTCAAATGGAGGTGGGTCTCTTAATATCCCAATGAAATTACTGGAAAAGGGTGCGGGCGGCCTCTAGAAATCTGAGCCTACAGGCCCCGGTGACTATGCTCCGGAACCTCGCACGGTGTTTGAGAACAGTTCACCTCCTCTTGTTCACATCGCCCGTGTACCTGGCAACCTGAACGGTTGGACTAAAAATTTCTACTTCCGCTGGCGCGGTGAATGTCTGCTGTTTGCATGTGAAGAATCTCACACGGAGTTTCTGTCCACAAAAACAAAATGACCAAGTATGTATACTCATACAGAGGGAGGCAGATATAATTTGGAAACAGAAAGATTTAACTTAATAGTTCAGTCAGACTGGCATTGTGTGTCTATCCCTTAACACTTTTGGGTTTTACTGACCGATGACCCTGCGGCTGTATGAAAATGAGGGTGCTATCAAGTCAACTATTTATTAATAATATTTAGTATTAGTAAACTTATGAAATAATAATATACAAAATTAGGACGAGTAATAATAAAATATTAAGAAGTCGAGAATAATTAAAAGCATAATATTTTTAACAGTAACCAGATGACATAAGTTTAGGTAATAATAGTAATAACTAATAGCTAAATATAAAATTGAGAATTTTAAATTTTACGTTGATTAATTAATAATTATAAATGAAAATGAGTTTTTAAAAAATAAAATAAAACGAATGATAAAATTGACAAAAATTGTCCCCGCCCACCACAACTGTTTGGACAGATCTAGAAAACTACTGCAGTATTAATGTAAGGAAAAAAATAATACTCCATTCCAGATTATTCAGCATGCTTTAACCAAATATTATAATTATACAGTAAGAAGATTGCCATTGCCAGTTGTCCAAGAAAAATTCCAAATTTGATCCTCTTTCAGCCGCCCGAGGGCCTGCTATATTGAAGAAGGGTCCTTTGCTGTCTTATATGGTTTCCTTTTATTTGTGGTGTGTAGACACACCTGATATTATTGTTGTTTGCTTCCTTGCTGTGCTGCGTTGTTTGCGGTTTTGGGTTCTGGTGTGTTCCAGATCTCTTTGCGGTGATATTGACGGGTACTAGCTGACTGTTGCTGGTGCTCAGTAAGAAGATAATTTGGTTCTCCTTTAAATAACGGTCGCTAGCTGGAAGGTGACGGTCGCTTAGTCGGAGTTCAGTCCCCTGGCTGCAGTGCAATCATGGAGTGGACAAGGCACAAATAAAAAAACACAGTGAATTCAACATGGCATCTAGACCACGCGCTGCGACTCACATTAGCCTAACCCTAACCCTATTCCTAATTATGTGATTTGTGTCGTTCCCTCTTTTCCACTCCGTAATTGCACTCAGCCAGGGGACTGAACTCCGACTAAGCGGCTGTCGCCGTCCAACTAGCAACCGTTATTGCAAGGAGAGCTGATAGTTCAGTATTACACCTAGTGATGTTTTTGGCAGATAGGGTCACAGTCTCACACATGCCTCAGTGCTTTTCTGCCTGGGTTCCAGAAATGCCCTTTCAGGAAAAGGCGGGGAGGGGGGGGGGGCATGGATTGACCCACTGCCACATTTAAAAAGCAAATAATTACTGACTTATTGCTGAAATTAGATTTCATCATCATCAATATTATAAACCACTTCTGCAATTAAGTGTCATGGGAGGAATTATTTGTAACCCAACGCACGCTGGCTGCAACTGACTACTTTCATGCTTTGAAGGCATAGAGTGACTTTAATGTTGTCGATCCATTTTTTCACTGCCATCCTCTTGATCTTGTAGCTGATCTTCTTAGATGTGATGGTATCGGATTTTGCTGCATTCTAACAAGTTTCCAAACCACTTGCTCTGCTGTTTCTCTATATATCTAGTACAAGTGTTGTTCCCAAAAATGTGATTAATCGTATCATTATTTACTTGATCCCGGAGGTTTAAGTTGGCAGTTTTTCTCAGGCATCTCATCTCGCAGGTGGTGATTTTGCGTATATGGGCTTTAGACAGTGTCCATGTTTGGCACTGGTAGCTGAATGTTGGAATGAATATGCTGTTTATAGTCTTGTCTGTTTGCACTCATAGTTATGTTTGGATGTCCTAATAATGATGACATTTGGTATAATTTGCACTTGCTTTCTGACATGTGGTTTCTATTTCCCTGTCAGTTCTACCATCTTCTGTGACTATACTTCCTAAATATTTAAATTTCCTAACTTGATTCAGGCCAGAACCATTCAGCTGTTTAAGGGTAAATACATAATTTCTTTAGGAGTAAAACCCATACGAGCAATTATGAATGTATTATTAATTACTTGTAAAGAGGCCAGTGTAAGTCTCCTACTGCAGGAGCAGAATAGAATTGGGTGATTACCTGCAGTTTCTTACCACAAAGTCATTTTATATATATATATATATATATATATATATATATATATATATATATATATATATATATATATATATGAGACTATACTATATATTTTTTCTACTGCGGGGGGTCAGTATATAATTGGGTGATTACCTGCAGTTTCTTACCACAAAGTCATTTTATATATATATATATATATATATATATATATATATATATATATATATATGAGTGACTATATGTTTTTTCTACTGCAGGGGTCAGTATATAATTGGGTGATTACCTGCAGTTTTTTACAGTAAGACATGTATTTGAGTGATTGTATTGTTTCCGGATAGCCTGGCCAGTTCTGCACCACTTGGAATTGATCTGTGATAAACTAGATTTTGTGAGGGCCCTTTGGGAGTGAGTGAACACTGTGGAGGTACAGATAGATCATTACAGTCTGAGGAAAATAACGCTGCGGGGAGTTACATGGGGATCTGGCTGATGATCAAAACTCAGGGGAAAGGTGACACCGATATACAATACCGTCGGAATTGTAACTCTTATCTTGCTACTTCTTCTTCTTCTTTGTGTTCACCAGCTGTACACTCTGGCGTAAAGTTCTGGTTGTTCGTCCACTTCTGGACTGCAGTCATGCTCCAGAACCTGAGTGTTGCATGTGCATCAGTTTTACAGATCTGATTCAATTGAATGCAGACTGCTGGTTCCTTGCCTCTCAGGCAGATGCACTCCGACTTCAAAGGAAGCTCCCCAGTTAGTCGACTCTTACGACATGCTTTTGGGGAGGCAGTGGGTCTATTCTAGTTTTCCCCACAATAGGGCCCCGGAACCCACACGGGGGTTATCTTGCTACTGAAGATGGGAATGAGCGCTTATGGGGGTGTCCCGAGTGCTGTGGTGTTGATGATTAATTCAACAGTCTGCTGCAGGAATCATCATAGAGTTGGGTAAAACTGTTGTTTCCCACCGCAGAAAGCGGTTTGAGGAGCTAGGTGTGCCATGAGCAAATAGGGAAAAGTGCTGTGCTGTTTCCTAAAAGAAGGTCATTGTATAGCTGGGTGACTATGCAGGGTAATTAATTATTGCTCTTACCACAGTCTTAGGTGTTTATATCTTGTTCACCTGCAGGGGTAACTATAGTGTTAGGTGACATGATTTGTACTACAGGCGTTTTATGGTATTGGGTAATTATTTATTGTTCTTAAAAGGACCCTTGTCCACGCCTTCAGGTTTATTGGGCATATAGGGCTAGGCCTCCCTGTATTTTATAGACCGTAATAATAATAAATCCCCTGCCGGGTCCAAAATTTAGTTTTTTTGTTGACCAAATGTTCTGCAAGTTTGTGTTAACAAGGTTTCACTGTATTTCATACTGCAGCTGGGGGTCAGTGAAGTTGAGCGATTATAGTCTCCCAAAAGTGTGACACTTCCTGGTGTGGGTACCAGTGCCACATTGTGGGGAAAAAGAATAGATCCACTGCCTCCCCAACAAGCATATTGTAAGAGTCGACTGACTGGGAGCTTCCTTCGAAGTCGGAATGCATTTGTCCGAGAGGCAAGGAACCAACAGTCTGCTACTAATAAATCATATGAAGAACAGATGTACACGTAACACTCAGGTTCTGGAAGAAGGCTAAAGTCCTGAGACGGATGAATGGCCAGAACTTTCTGCCAGAGTTTACAGCAGGTGAAGGCGAAGAAGAAAGTATTACACTGTATCTATTCCCAAGCCCAAATTGTTATCTAAACAGTGTGTCACCCAGCCTATTTGTTAATGAAGCCCCACAAAATTATCTTGTCTTCCACACTAAATTCGTCGAGTAAGGTGTTCAAATTTTGGATGCACATTAAAATTTTTTGTCAAAGGGCCAAGTATATCCTGCCAGAGAGTTTGTAATGTCTTGTTTTCTGTCACAGGGGTCGCATAGAGTTGGGTGACATAACGTCACACAACATCAAACAACTCAAGAGACTCAACCAGGTAGTTTTCCCAGTGACATACAATGATAAGTTTTACAAAGATGTCCTTGAGGTTGGAGAGCTGGCCAAGTTAGGTAAGTGAATGTCACAGTAAGCTGAAGGTAACTGCGTGTACATTATCATATAGCATGTCCTTTTGCAGAACGCTGTTCTCATTATGGTCTGCCTGAAAAAACTTGAGCTCGCATCAGTTTCTTATTCTCATGCCTAATTATACCCAAGGAGTCACTTATATCTATCCTGTTACCATGCATTCTGCTATTTTGTCCAGTCTGCTGTGGTGCTGGATATGGCCACAAATTTACGTGTACTTCTGAGACAAGATGCTGTTTACCAGCCAATCTTCCTTGATGTACAGATCTTTTAAGATGTCAGAATTGTTTTTTCTTCTTTGTCCATGATATTCTGAGATTTGTTTTGTTTAGAATTTTAGCTCAAAAGTCCCTATTTTCTTCCTTAAGGACTATCACATCTACCCTTACTTGTTCTGCCATCATTCTTGTCCTCAGTTCTTGTTTTTCTTCTTCCCCTTCTTCATGTTCACCAGCTGTAAACTCCGGCAGAAAGTTCTGATCTGATTGTCCACCTTGTTTGCAGGTTGTTGGTTCTTTGCCTGTCAGGCAGATGCACTCTGACTGAAGGAAGCCCTTAATTAGTCGACTTTTATGACATGCTTGTTGGGGAGGCAGTGGGTCTATTCTTGTTTTCCCCACAATGGGCCCCGGAACCCACACGAATAGTTCCTATTTGTTATCTGCCTGGCCTGCGGGTCTCATCATCGCATAGAGTCCATACAAAAGTCAACACTGCAGATGTAGGCATCCATGCAGATGTTAGAACATCTAGAGGCGTAGTACATCAACAGATCCAGGAGATAACTGGTACAGATAGAAAGAAGGCATGAAATGCTTATCACCAGTCTCCTTCCGTCAGGGTATCACATGGGCAGAGTGATGAAATGAGTTGACCAATTTAGAGGCCCAACTTTTAACTCCTTCAGTCCCACACAGGAATTTGAATGTATTGGACCAAAAGGGTCAGATATCACATCCTAGCTGTAAAACACAACATGGACAACAGGAGCCTGAGGTTTTAAGCTAACCTGGCTTGTACAGTCACAGTAAACTGCAAGTTAGGACATCACTTACTGTTTACCAGTTGGGCTGTACAAATATGGATCTGGTACCCCATACCCAGTGTGTGTCAATGTTATGAAAAAAAGGCCTTCATGTCAACATTTATCTGATTTCATTGAGTCAGAATCCCACCACGTACGCTTAATGGGACAGTCACCCGAGAAAGATGGAGACAGGTATGCTCTGTGGGAACTGGCAAGCAGCATTGCTTCAGAGGATCCTGGTTCCTTTGGATCTTTAGCACACTTTGGATATTTCTTCCAGGGATACAGGTGTGTTGGGAAAGGAACAGGCAGACAGACAGATTGGCTGGTTCTGCTTCACTAGGTGGTAAATTGATGCTGGACAAACTCAAGTGTTATTAATGGTCTTTGGAAGGAGTGAACAGTGCGAAGACACGAACATCGCAGTCTGAAGCGAATGGTGCAGCATGAAGATCTGGCCAACACTCAACACTCAGGGAAGAGACAAGACAGGCTTACAGTGAGACTGCTACTAGTGTCATTGGAATTTTAACTCTGCCCTAGATGTTGAAACAGGGAGACGGAACACTGATGGGAATGTCCTGAGTGCTGTGATGCTGGTTCCTCAGTTCAGCACAACTGGCTTCTGTTATTTAATGTTACATTAAATTTTTTTTGTGATATTTTATCTTATAACATTCATGTTTTACTTTTTATTTCCCCCCTCCAGCCTATTACAATGATATTGTTATTGGAGCTGTGTGTTGCAGAATAGATACCTCGGAAAGCCAGCGCCGCTTATACATAATGACACTTGGGTGTCTAGCACCATACAGAAGGCTTGGCATTGGTATATTCTTTATCTTCCTCTGTTTTGTATTTTCATTTGTACGTTTTTTGTGAAAAATTTATGTTGTTACTTATTTGTATGTTTCTGGGCCATAAATTTGAATGACGTCATCTGATAAGTACGACCACTGAGGCCATATTTTTACCCTTACAACTAGACAGATTGAACAAAGAAGACATTTAATTTCCCGGTGTGGGATCTGGGGCCCTATTTGGGAAGGGGGGGAAGAACTCTTCCCCCCCCCCCCCCCCCCCAAAAAAATATAAAACATGTAGTAAAAGACAACTAATTAGGAGTTTCTTTTTAAGTCATAGTGCATCTGTAAAACGAATGTGCATGCAAAACTCAAGTTCTTCAGCAGTACTTAAGTTTCAAAGTGGATGAAGAAACAGAACTTTCCGCTGGAGTTCACTGCCAGTGAGCATAAAGAAGAGGAAGATTGCACAGCTGTATGTATCCCAACAGGCACACACCACGGTAAAAAAAAAATACACTGAAGCAAATAAATGAATCCATATAACTGAAAAGACTCCCAAAAGCAACTGTCTGATTTATCAGGGCAGACGCTGGTTTATCATGTCTCTTTTATTTACCACAAATCTGGGCGAAGTGATCTATCATTGCTGTAGAATGCACCTGCCGAGATGACACATAAAGTAAAGGTCTGTTCACACACCAGTGGCATATCAGGCTGGACTGATATTTTTTATAGACCAATCGGTTCTCAGTGGGTGATGTGGTCAACATCATGCCGGGCCCCTTTACTTCCCAGGACTTTACCTGGTACCACCCATTTAAGGCTGGGTCGATCTGGGAGCCAAGATCATATGTGGAAAAAAAAATCCAACAGCAGAACATGCCAAGCGGTAAATTGTGAAATATATGGCTTGTCTTCTTTGTTCAAGTTTACATGGGGCAGACAACTGTACAGATGTTATATTTTCATCTTTGGCGATCTGGTCTGGGACAGACATTGACATTATAACCTTGACTCTCCAACATTGCCACCACACCCCCTCCCACTAATAGACCACAGAACCGCTTAAAAGGTGACTCATTAAGGTTGTTTCTTTTACTTTGGATGTGTTGGGCCAGAAGGTGCAGATAAGGCAACCTAGCTGTAATCCACAACACAACAAACCAATAACCCTTTTAAGGGTGAGTACATAAGAAGAAAAACTCTCCAATCCCTACTAAGTGATTGCAGTTCTGAACTCAGCTCTCTTTTTTCTTCCTTGATTGTCCCATGAAATCTGCCGTTAACTGAAACACTTTCTAAGTTAGCTTCCGGTCAAAATGGCAGAGAGGCAGGTTTAATGTTTTTAATTGTATGTTTTTTGTGCTCTGGGCAATAGTTAGCAGTTGCATTTTCCTCTGTATGTAGACTGAGTGGGTGTAATTCTGTCACCTTGCTACTGCATCACATGAAAATGAGCTGCGGTTGGAATGCTTTTTGACTGCCTAGGCTGGTATTTTTTACAGGGAATGGTGATGGACATTCTGTGTGGTTTTCGCTGGTACTGGCTCGGGGTAACTGTGGGGTGACCCATTAGCTATGAAGCTTGAACTGAATTTATCTGAGTTAGAGGTGATTGCCATACTTCTCTTCTTCCTGTGCATGTGCATTCCCATGTGGGCTCTGTCCCCATCTTCAGCAGCAGCAGCCACCGCAGAGTTCCCAAACTGTTGTTACTAATGACAATCTGGTTATTTGTCAGTCTTGCCTTTCCTCTGAGTGTAGTGAGCCGGCCAGACCCTCTGGTTACACCCAGGTGCCTCATTCTCTCCAGACTCATTAGTTTCCTAAGGCATTTGTTTTTGAATGCATTTAACTTTCCTTCCAGGTCTTTATGCATATACATCCATACACTTTCAGGCACAGTCATGCTTCAACATGTGCTAAACATCTGTGAAAAGGATGGAAACATTGACAATGTCTTTCTGTAAGTTCCTGTGGGTTTATATGTTTGTATTTGGTGGCGTTCTGCTGGTATTAACTCTTTTAACCTATGAATGTTTTTTTTTTAAAAAGGCCATGAAGCTTTTAAAAAATCAATTTCACAGAGGTCACTAAAAATTTTGCAGAATGTTTAGTCTTGTATACTCTTAAGATTGAAGCTCCTGCCAATTTGGGTTCCGGGGCCCCATTGTGAGGGAAGAAAGGCCCGGCTCTCTAGCCTAGTTGGCTAAACTTGACTTCGCAGTGACTGGGTGACTAACTCCTCGTGGTCCGGGTTCGCTCCTGGGGGTAGGCAGAAAAGCCACATTTCCCCCCTATTTACGGTAGCTATCATTGAATCAAGGCAGAAAGGGTTGCGATATCTATAGTACCCAGCCAAAGGGTTAACAACTCAGGTTTTCTGTATATTTAAAAAAAAAAGAGGGAAGACAAAATAGACCCTCCCCTCCCCTCCTTAACTATAACTAGCATGCCATAAAAGGGGACTAATTAGGTATGTTTCCTTTAAACTCGGACTGCATCTACCTGCGAGACGAGGAACCAACAGTCTGCATAGAATAGAAATAGACCGGATTTGTAAAACTCAAGTTCTGTAACAAGACTAAAGCTCAGAAGTGGATTAACAACCAGAACTTTTCACCAGAGTTTACAGCCGGTGAATGCAAAGAAGAATTAAAGCATATTTTCACATTCTTCTTCTGCCTTTCAACTTCCATTGGTGATCCTGACTTGACTTCTCGTCTTCATTTGATATTTTAGTGTTGCATTTAATAACTGCAGTTATTTACACTTTGCACCCAAAAATCTTTCTCTAGTGTTTCTTGGTAATTTTATCTGTCCAGCTTCTATTAATGTGCCTGTGACATTGATCTTTTCCTTATATAATTTTAAGGGGTGATTTAGTAAACCTTTGCAGGAATGCAACACAGGTAGAAGTACTTGAAGTAAAGCACTCTTTTTTTTAAATGTCTGTGGCATTTCAAGTATGTGATACTAGACTCTTAAACAGCCTTAAAAGTCTATGGTTAAGCACCAGCAAGGAGATCAAAATTTGAATTTTGAGAGCATGCATCTTCCCTGTAGCAGCATACAGATGTGAGTCATGGACTATATCCCAGTCCTTAAGAAAGAGAATAGGAGCTTTTGAGCTGAAATGCTATAGAAAGATTCTCAGAATATCTTGGACAAAGAAGAGGAGAAATACTGACATCTTGAAAGATCTGAACATCAAGGAAGATTGGCTATTAAACAGCATCCTGTCTTGGCTGCTGAAATATTTTGGTCATATAAAGCGCCACAACGGATTGGAAAAAATTATAGCAGAATGGTACCAGGAAAGAGGGGCAGGGGCCAACCAACACGGTTGGGCACAGGATATAAGTGACTCTTTGAGTGTGAAAGTTCATGAGACGGGAGAGCTGGCGAGAGACCGAGTTTCTTTCAGGCAGACCCTGATGAGAGCGACGTTCTGCAAAGGATCTGCTACATGATGATGATGATGATACTAGACTCATGTCTTTTTAGACCAGTTGGCACTCGATGGATGGTGTGGTCTGCATCATGCCACCTGCTTCTGCTTTCCAGAACATTTGCCTGGTATTTTGTTAGGCTTGGTTGACCTGGGAGCCACTCTCAGGTTTGAAAGGGGGAAACAATCTGAAATGATGAGGATTCGACCCTCAAGACCCTCAGGCGAGTGTCTGACCACATCTCCCTGAAAATGTATAAGCAGGAGTATGCAGATAATGAAAATAAGAGTGACTGCAAGCAAGCTGATACCGGGAAATTAATTTACTGAAGTGTGACTAAGAAGCACTTCTGAATATAGAGGCGGAGATGATTTATCTTTCACTGCCATAAAATCTTGCTCTGGTGATCAAACCATACTCTGGATAATCACCTCATTCATATTAAATGTTCTGAACCCGGCAGTCAGAGTTCAGCATACTTTGATTTAAATATTATTTAAATTTAACTTTGTTTTATATTTTATTCTATCCGTTATTGTAACAATATTAATAAAAGTATTAATACATTTAAAAAAAATGTGTGGATAATTAGTATTTTTCCGATTATCATCACCATGGTTATCACTAGTGATGTTATTGTGTTACTCTTATTTTCACCACTGCTACAATTATTATTCCTGTTGAATTATTGTTACTATTTCCGCTCCATTTATTTTATTCGTAGGGGGCTGCATGGTCTGGAGGCATGGTGTCCGCCTTGAGTGCTAGAGGTTCCGGGTTCAATCCCCAGTAAGGGTTGGGATTTGTTCACATGAACTTGGACTTCTAGTAATTCCCCCTAGTCTCTGGGTAGTGAGATCTGATGCCCGTATGCATTGTTGCACACATAAAAAAATCTTCGGACTTAGACTTGAGTTAAAAGAAGACCGGAGCACTTATGGGTTACACCCGTGTGTCATGATGTTGATCTGTTGTTCAAAACCTCAAAACATTATTTTATTCGTTTCACACCACTTTTTCCTTTTCCTATATTTTATAGTTGTTCATCTTAATACTGTGCCTTTTTGTTTTGGTTTGTCTTATAAAGGCTTCTACAGTGTGTGAATATACATCTCCCCTCAAACCTCCCTCCCTTTCCCTATGCAATTAGACTGCTTAGTTACAGTTTGCTGAAGAAAGAACATGTAAAGTTTTCATCTGCTTGACTTCTCCAGGCATGTACAAGTCAACAATGACGGTGCCATCCATTTCTACGAGAAGTTTGGATTCAAAATTGTGGAGGAGAAAAAGAACTACTACAAGAGAATAGAGCCAGCAGATGCTTATGTTTTACAGAAGTCTTTCAAGGAGGATGCAGACAGTGACAAGCCACCAGTTGTGATCATCACAACTGATGATTCTGATAAAATCACGTCCTAGCCTCTTTTTTTAAGATATTGATTTTTCCCCCCATTTTTTTTTCTACATCAGATGTCGACCAGACACGTTTTTTGCTCTGGATATTGGAAATAAAAGAAGCAACTGTAGTGTTTAGTCTTTTATTCTTTGTATTGTACTGGGAAGCGGGGTATGTTTTTCTTCATTGCTCATTCACGAGGATTATGTTAAACAGCTTATGCACTGAAGCCTACTTTAGTATGGCGGCATCTGTGACTTAGGTGTTGTGAGTCCGACTCGTAATTCCATCATTCCGCCATCAAAACCCACTGCTGGCTGCGTGTATTTTTATCATAGTATGGGGCGTCACCGGCTGACCCAGGCTTAAATGGGTACCGGGATGTATGTCCTGGGGAAGTAAAGACGGCCGGCGTAATGCTGACCACATTACCCACCTAGTGCCGATTGGTCTGTAAAAATATGAGTGCGCTTCCCATATGCCCTATGTGCCTAATGGTGTGAAAAGGGATCTTTACTTTACTACTTTAGTATGAATTTGTGTAAAGTTTGCCTTCCAAGGTAAGGAGCTCTGCCTCTGAATAGACTTTCTTTCCTTCATTTTTTTTAATAGGCTCTATTTACGAGCAGAATTAAGAAAGTAATGCCCATTTTTTTCTCTCTCTCGCAAACCATTTATGCGGAATGTAGGACAATTGCTTGGAAATTACTCATTATGTGTTTTATACACTTCCTCAGGGACTCGCTGTGGTGGAACATCTAGACGCTCTCCGCGGATCAGAAGGTCATGTTTTCGCTCCCAGGCAGAGCCGGACTTTAAAAAAAAAAAAGACTGTAGCTCCCAGGTCGACCCAGCCTTGAGTGGGTACCGGGTGCAGTCCCAGGAAGTAAAGGTGGTCGGCGTGATTCTGACCACATCACCGATCTTGTCTTCTTCTTCTTCGCGTTCACCAGCTGTAAACTCTGGCGGAAGGTTCTGGTTGCTCGTCTACTACTGAACTGCAGTCCTGCTCCAGAACCTGAGTGTTGCGTGTGCATCAGTTTTACAGATCTCATTCTCTTGAATACAGACTGTTGGTTCCTTGCCTCTCCGGCAGATGCACTCCGACTTCAAATGAAGCTCCCCAATTAGTTGACTCTTACAACATGCTTTTGGGGAGGCAGTGGGTCTATTCTTGTTTTCCCCACAATGGGGCCCCGGAACCCACACAGGGGACCCATCTTGTGTCGATTGGTCGATTTGCTAAGAAACCCTCAGTTTATAGCTTGAAGAGTCTTCCAGCAGCTGCTTTTCAGGTAGCCAGCTCAGTCTTAATGCCTCCGTTTCGGTCTAATACAACTCCAAGGTATTTGAACTGGTTAACCTGCTCCAATGCATACTGTCCCATCATGATCTGGTGTTTCTTCTCCTCTCTTGAGATCACCATGGTTTTAGTTTTAGAGATACTGATGGTCATCCCTCTCTTTTCAAGCTCTTCCTTCCAGACAAGTAAGTTGGACTGAAGGTGTGCCTCTGATTTAGCAATCAGGGCCACATCGTCTGCAAAAGCCAGCTCTGATATACAGATTGGTCTCATCTTCCAGTACCCTACAGAGTACTTCTTTGTCTTCTCCTTACAGGTCTTGATGACATCATCCATCATAAGAATGAAGAGGTAAGTTGAGAGAATATCACCTCGTCTAACACCGCTGATGGTCTTAAATTCTCGTGACTTTTGGTCTGCTGTTCTTACATAATTTCTGCACCTTTTGTAGAAACTCTGTATTGCACTGATCAGGGGTACCGGGATGTTTTTCCCTGCCAAGCAGTCCCAGAGCTTGTTCCAGGGTACCTTGTCCAATGCCTTTTCCAGATCCAAAAAACATAGGTGCATCTCACTCTTATATTCAAGGCCTTTTTCACTCATCTGTCTTAGTGTGAAGATAAGGTCTTGAGTACTTCGGTTTGCTCTGAAGCTGCATTGGGCCTCGTCCAGCTGTGGCTCTACCAGACTTCTAAGTCTCTGCTCGAGAATTCTAGACTAACTTTTACCAGGAACGCTGAGAAGGGATAAGCCTCTGTGATTTTCACATTGTCTGTTATCACCTTTCTTAAATATAGGTATAATGATGGCAATCTCCCAATCTTTTGGTATAGTTTTGCTACACCAGGCTGCCTGGAGAACCTTCAGTAGAAGACGCTCACCTGCGACCCCCATATATTTGACCATCTCTGGTGTTATACCATCATGACCTGCTGCTTTTCCCAACTTAATCTTCTCAATAGCTGCTTTCAATTCTTCCATCCTAATGTTATCTTCCCCATGGATGATTTCCATCTCAGCAGTGAGGTCCATTATTTCTGGGACATGACTTCCCTGAACGCCAAGAAGCTCTGAGAAGTATTCTTTCCATCTGCCCATGATATTATTTGTAGATGTAAGCAGAGCCCCTTCCTTGTCTTTTACACTTCCTGATTTTCTATATACTTTTCATCCTCTATGATAGCCTAACGCTAATGTGAAACAAGGGCATGCGTGCCTTGTTACATCAGGTTGTCATGTTAACAGTCATTTTTTCACAGTAAGTGGGTATCTCTACTTCCTGAAGTTTTAACTCACTGAACCCAGTGACCATGGTTGCTCGTACTGACTTCCCAACTTCCCTACACATCACACACAATTTTATTAATGTTTAATAGTTCCTCTTTCTGTAATGCATAATGCTTCCTTTGGCAACTCATGCCACTTTAACAGATTAGTGCAGTTCTTTTTGTCAAAATGTGTCATTTTGTATATACAATACAGGCATTTCAAACTGGAGGTGTGCAACATTTCTCTTTTGTTTTCCGTATTGAACGATTGGCGAGGAGAGGAGTGGGTCAGTGTCCGATCAGGTCTCAGATTTGTGTAGGGTTCCAATCACTTTGAAATGTGAGGGCACAGACTGGCCAGTGGTGATTCATGACAATTCCTGCCCAAGTGATGTGATTGTATATACAGATGGCTCTGTGTTGAGGGGCAGACGAAGTGCATAGGGGTTCATAGCGAAGGCGAATGTACATTGCTTGGTGTAACAAACCCTGGCATATGATATAGTATCTAGTTTGAGAATGGAGGTGGAGGCAGTCACTGCTGCTTTGGCTGGCCTGAGAATCATCTGTACACACATGTCATCATTGTAACTCAGTGAGCATGCTGAGAAAGGTGGAGACAGGCATGCTCCATGCAGAGTGGCAAGCATCACTTCAGAGGTCCTGGGTAGTTAGCATCCTTTAGATATTTTCTCCAGCTCATGCCAGTGTTTTGGGAAATGCAGATAGACTGGCCGGCTCTGCACCACTTGGTGGTGAACTGATGTATGATAAGCTGGATGTTGTGAGGGCCCTTTGGGAGTAAATGAATAGCACTGAGGAACAAATAGATCATTACGGTCTGAGGAGAATGGCGCTGTGAGGAGTTACCAGGGGATCGTGTTGACGCTCCAAACTTGGGTAGGGTTGGGGGAACATACAATCCGGCAATTACTGGTGCCGTCAGAACTGGAACTCTTCGCTTTCTGCTGAAGATAGGAATGAACGCTTATGGAGGTGTCTCGAGTGCTGTGATGTCGATTCTTAATTCAACATTCAAGTGGTCAGAATGCTGGGCTCTTGTAAGAGACTAGGCTTCAATTCTTAGTACGGTAATGGTTTTTTTTTTTCCCTGTTGGGGGGGGGGGGGGGGGGGGGGGGAAGAACCACATCCTAACTTGCACAGTTCATGGTGTCTGCAATAGCCATGCGACTTTAAGTCCGAAGGGTAGATCTCTACATCCTACACCACCCTAAAAAGTGGTAGTGTGGACAGCTGCATGTTTTTTTTTTTTTTCAAGTCAAGTAACCTGAATTAAAAGTCTATGGTTAAGAAATCAAAGTTAAAATTTTGAGAGCATACATTTTCCATGTAGCAACATGCAGATTAAGTTGTGGACTATTTCACTGAAAATAGGGGCTTTTGAGCTGAATGGGTTGAGTCAAGAAGTGACATCACAGCACATAGGGCATTCCCATTTGTGCTCCGTCCCCATCTTTAGCAGCCAGCCCAGAGTTCCAGTACTAATGGTACAGGTCATAATTTAGTTATATGTCTGTTTTGCCGTTCCTCTGAGTCTAGTAAGCCAGGCCGACCCTGAAATGCTATAGAAATTTTTCAGAATACTCAAGGACCTGAGTGTTGCACGTGCATCAGTTTTACAGATCTGACTCATTTTTATGCAGACTACTGGTTCCTTGCCTCTCAGGCAGATGCACTTGGACTTCAAAGAAAGCTCCCAATTAGTCGATTCTTACGACATGCTTTTGGGTATTCAGTAGGGGTATTCTTTTTTCCCTTATAATAGGGCACTAGAACCCACACAGGGAACTGACATTCTGAAAGGTCTGAACATCGAGGAAGATTGGCTAATAAACAGCGTATTGTCTCTGGAGCTGAAATATTTTGGATCAAGCGTCACGGCAGATTGGAAAAAAATAATAGCAAAAGCAGGTTACCAGCAAGGAAGGGCAGGGATCAACCATCACAAAGATAGGCACAGGATATATGTGACTCCTTGAATATGAAAGTGCACAAGGTATAGTGCTGGGGAGTGACTACAAGTCTCTTTCAGGAAGACCATGATGAGAGTGACGTTTTGCAAAGAACCTGCAAAATGATGAAAGGACCCTTTTCAACGCTTCGAGGTGTATTGGGCATATAGTGCTGGATCTTTTTTTTTTTTTTAATAGACGAATCGACACCTGGGTGTTATTGCTTCCTAGGACTTTACCTTTTATCTATTTAAGACTGATTTTACCTAGGAACCAAGGTCATTTAAAAAAAAAAAAAATGCTAGCTTTTGTTTGTATTTAAACCCACGATCTTCAGATCCGTAGGTGAGCTGCTAGCTGCTACACCACAGTGGCTCGCCAGCAAAAATGTTTTTTAAAAATCATTCTGAATGCCCCAGCTAACTGGGTAAGTTTTCTTTCCTAGCAATTGTATGAGTTTTATGGTCTACACTTTGCTTTATCCAATTTCTGGTCATTTTGAATGTGCTCCACTTTTCTGTTTCAGGGATTCCACATCTTCCCAAGGGAGTCACCGTGGCCGAGCGGCTAGATGCTCGCCGCGGATCGGAAGGTCGTGGGTTCGCTCCCTGGCGGAGCCGGACTTTGTTCAGAAATGACCTTGGCTCCCAGGTCGACCTGCCTTGAGTGGGTACCGGGTGCAGTCCCAGGAAGTAAAGGTGGCCAGCATGATTCTGACCACATCACCCATCTTGTGGCGATTGGTCTATAAAAGTATAGGTCTAGCCCTATATGCCCTTACGCCTAAAGGTGTGGAAAAGCGTCCTTTACTTTTTACGGGTTTTTTTTACAGCTTCCCAAAAGATCTGGGGACAACTGCTAAAATAAAACCACTTTTTCTTTTTCGTTCCACATTTGAAGGGAACTTCCTATATAGATTCCGTGGGGCTCTTTCATGGAGAAAAATGAGAGTAGTCCTGCTTTTCTCTTAACAAGCATGTCTTAAGAGTTGAATAATTAAGGGTAAATCAACAAAATCAGTGCTATATGCGAGGCAGCACATGCTGAAGATCTCAAAAGTGAAGATAATCATTTCTAACTCGAATGCGAGGCATAACTATACCAGCTGGAGCAGCATGAGGTGAAAACTGCACGAAATCTTAGTCGCTACTTCAACCAACACAGAACAGGAGTCGTCAGCATAAACACACTGAGAAACATACTTTGGAGAAGATCTGAGCACTTATGGGATGCCCAATGTGCAGTGAGGATGACCCCGAAATTAACAATCGAGTACATCTGTCTGAGAGGCAAGGAACCAGCAGCCTGAATATTTAAAAAAAAAAAAGCCAGATCTGTGAAACTGATGTGCAGACAAAACAAGTTTTTGAACAAACATAAGTCCAGAGGTGGACTCCTGGTGCCATGGTACCAGGAAGGAATGGCAGGGGCTAACCAACATAAAGATGGGCATTGGATATAAGTGACTACTTGAATATGAAAATGCACGAGGCTGGAGAGAGACTGAAGTTCCTTTCCGGCAGACTTGATGAGAGTGACATTCTGCAAAAGATCTACTACTACATAGTGATGCAGGTGTATATATATATATATATATATAAACACACACACACATATAAAAGCAGTTACTTTGCTTGCTAGTGATACACTTATAATGTGGCCAAACAGTAATGACTGCCAGGTGTGTGTATGAAAAGAAAGAGTAAAACAGCAGTAATCTATTCTTCAACAGGTTTTCTCCTCTCACTCACATACAATGTACAACCATTTCACTCTGCAAACAAATGTACACAACCCTAAGGTTGAATTACTAACTTTTATTCTTGGATCCAAACATGAAGACTGCACAGTTGAATCAAAGCATGAACAAGAGCCGAAATTAGGTTTCAATCTTAAATTTTTTACACTTGCATTGTTTTCTTCCATTGCAAATCAAAATTGACTGAAGTTTTATGTACACATCTTGTGATCACTGGCTAAAATCTTGAAAGATAATCCACATTCTTTGGCTCTGCCATGGGCTGGGAAAGTGAGTACGCTGACAAATGAGAATGCTGGAGTTAAAGTATGATGAAGAAAAGACCTACTGCCCATTGAAAAGCATATTGTAAAAGTGGGCTAAAAGGATTTGGTGAAATCCAATGCACTGGTCTGAAAGGCTCAGATATTGTGCAGCCTGTCTGTAAACCACAACACAATGTGACAAGTGAGTTTTTTTTTTTTTTTTTCAAGTGTGAATGCAACAGAACAAACAGTGAGAACAACAATTATAGCATTCACCATAGAGGAACATCTCTGTCTGTCTCTCTCTAAAACAACTGGCAGTACAGCGAACAGACATTACCAGTGCCACACACCATGAGCCATAAGAATAAGAAATGAACCACTGTATTTGTTATTTTTAACTTTAAGAAATAACAAATAATTCATTTATCCTTTTTATATATTTAATCTTACTTTTCAATTCATATACATCTGATGTCTTGACATTTAAAAAATGTGAATATGCTTAGCATTTTTTTTTAAATTTCAAATCCTCGATTTGTTGAATTATTTATAACTTTACAACAGAACCACTTTCTTATAGCCAGCAAGATTCCTGAGTGGGTTTTGGGACTAAGTTTTGGTGGAGGGAATGGTAGAACTATCGCCCCTTGACTAACACATTATAAAAGGCATTTGTTCAATCAATCATATGTCATAACTACAATGAAGACTGGCTGCAATGGATCTCTATCATGGGCAGCCTCCTGTCATGGTAGTACACTCTCTCTCACTACTGTTTGACCACCTCTTGATGTTGCCCTCCCATTTGTATCATCTGTCTCTTGCCCTCGATATTTCCCTTTTTTTTAAACTACTTCTCTCAGTAACTCTATTTTCATTTGCAGTTTCTCCAGAACCTTTTTTTGTTTTTTTATTTTCATGAAATACAATTCTTTTCTTCTGCATTTCCACATTTCCAGACTCAATTTGATTTTCCAGTTGCCTGTTCATTGTCCAAGTTTCTGAACCATACAGCAGGGTTGAGTATCCGTAACATTTTGACGATTCTAATGTTTATGTGTTATTTATCACTCTAGCTGTCGATAATTCTTGCATCTTACTGAAGATAGTTTTAACCACTTCTTTCTATTTCTTTTTTCTAAAAATATTTCTGTAACAACTAATTAAAAGTTAGCTGAAATCAGACATATTGGAATGACAGGTGCAGGACAGTCTAGCTGTAAACCATAAAACAATATACAAACTCCTAGTGTGGGTTCCGAGGCCCCATTCTGGGGGAAAACAAAAATAGACCCACTGCCTCCCCAACAAGCATGTCACAAGAGTTGACTAAGGGCTTCCTTCAAGGTCGATGTGCACCTACCAGAGAGGCAAGGAACTAACAATTTGCTTACAAATAAGTCAAATCTGTAAAACGGATGTGCATGTAACACTCAGGTTCCAGAACACAACTACAGTGTAGAAGTGGACAAACAACCAGAAATTTTCCACCAGAGTTTACAGGCGGTGAACATGAACTAGAATAAACAAAACAAAAATGTACAAACCAGCCTTTCAAAAGTGAACACAGAAGAAGCAACCCTTGAATATTTCTATGTTTTCGGCTGAAAAGCAAGCAGCTGTGTGGGCACGCAAAGAGGGTTCAGTGTAAAATATTTGGGATGCAAAAACCTCTGCCCAGCTCCATGTGCATGTACCTGCCCAGCTCCATGTGCATGTACCAGCCCAGCTCCTGCATTAGCCTGATTGCCGTCTTCAGCTTTTGCAGCCGTAGTCCCCTGAGAGTTATTGTTCTGTTGGCCACTGCTGCCCTGATCGGAGCTTGAAGAGCTAGTACTGGCTTCTAGGGTGGTCCCTTGTGTGGAGGACGATGCCCGAGTGGTCTGCAGATCTATTCTAGCTGGTGATGCGCTGGTCATTCCTAGCCTCACTGCGGATGTTGAAGAATCTGATGATGGCTGGGCTGAAGATGTCGCTGCCGATTTCGCTGCATGGGACAAAAGACTTTCCATTTCCTCAGGCTCCCAAAAGTCTGGATAAGATCAGAAAAGCATTTAAAACATAAAACAAAGACAATTAGGGCTAAAGATAGTTCATGTCATTCGCCTACATCCCTGTATGGGTTCTAGGGCTCCGTTGGGGGTGCGACAAATTCAATGCCCCCCCCCTTCTGAAACTCAAACAAGCACGCTGTAAAACAGGGCTATTTAACAAAGTCATCTCAGAGGCCGACATTTTCCAAATGAGGAACTTCACGGGCCACAGGTCCAAGTCCCAGCATAGAAAGATCATTAATACAATACCACCGGCAATGATCAGTGGGCCATTTGAGAGGTCCCACTGTAAAAGTTGATTAACCAGAGGTTAACTAAAACTTCGGCATCTGTGGCTTAGGCATTGCGCATACGCTTCATATTGCAGGGGTGTCGGGTTCGATCCCAGCTGCAGACGGTTTGTCTTGCATGGTTTTGACAGTGGTACCAAGAGCTGATGGTAGACTACTGAACATAATGTTTGCCTAGAAAAACCACAACAGCCACACACACACACACAAAACTGGGGTTTGTTCTGCAACGCCATGTAAAGGATCCACAACTAACTTTAGCTAAAACTGAATGTGTTGTGCCAAACGGAGCAGATTTCACAGTCTGGCTGTAAATCACAACACAATGTGCCAAAGCCCTTTTCTGTTTGAAAAAAGAAGAAGAGTTACTCTGGTCGAGCTGGAAGAAATTTAACAAAAAAACGCGGACTAGAAAATTGAAGGGAAGGAAAGGACAAGATGGGCAAAAAATACAATGAAACATTTCGACCAATGCCGTATCTTTTTTTTTTTTTTTTTCAACTTCATAATATCTACCTATCTGGATGTTCCTGCTACAGATTTCCTGTTCCATGCTGACCTTGTCAGCTATTCTTTTGTCTGTTGCTAATGACTGGTAGAAATTTTAAGTTGTATTTATGGCGGATTCAGTAATCAACTAGAGCTGATGTCACTGCACTCAGGATACATCCATGTGTTCTAAGTTTTTCTCAAAGGATTTCAAAGAGTTCAACAACGTGTGCTGATGCAGTGTCACAAGTAATTATTTGGCAGACACGATTTCAAACAAGGATCCTTACTGCAGATTATTAGGGACAACAACAGAGAAAATATGTCTCAGAAGATTTGCTGGAGTTTAATAAAATAAAAAATAAACTTCAGAAAAATACAAGGATGGAATAGGTCATGAAATTAATTAAAGAATGTCGAATTAAGAATCGACATCCCAGCACTCGGGACACCCCCATAAGTGCTCCGTCTCCATCTTCAGCAGCAAGCAAAGAGTTAAAATTCTGATGGTACCAGTTAATTAAAGAGCAAACATGAAATGGTCTCATCATCTGACAAGAGTGACCTGGCACCAAATATGACACAGAGTCACATTAAAGAAATCTAGTGAGCAAAAACCAAGAAAAAGACCACGTAAAGGATTGTGTCATGGCATCAAAAACAATCGTACAGAAAAGAATGCCACTTTACATAACACATAGAGCACACAGACAATACATCTAGAATACTTAACACTGAAATAATGAGGACAAGAAGGGGATGTGCTGTATTGAAGCTCAGGAACAGTTGCTAGAAAAACATGAAATTAACCCTTTCTATTCTCAGACATGTGTTAACTTTATCCAGTATATCCTGCTTAATCCAGTATATCCTGTTAACTTAATCCAGTATATCCTGTTAACTTAATCCAGTATATCCTGTTAACTTAATCCAGTATATCCTGTTAACTTAATCCAGTATATCCTGTTAACTTAATCCAGTATATCCTGTTAACTTAATCCAGTATATCCTGTTAACTTAATCCAGTATATCCTGTTAACTTAATCCAGTATATCCTGTTAACTTAATCCAGTATATCCTAACAAGGCAGGGGCTGACCTCAGGGAAGGTGGATACAGAACATTAGAGATGCATTGGCTACAAACATCTAAAGAGCTTGAGAAATGGCTAGAGAAAGTTGAGAGTGACATTTGAGAACTTGCTTATTGATGATGATATCCTATTAAGATTTTAGTTTCACTGTGGGTCTTACTGTTTTAGCAGTCACTGCTGTCTTCCGCTGGCTTGAGAATCACCTGTACTCATGTCATAATTGTAACTGACTCGCACAGAGCATACTGAGAAAAGTGGAGACAGGCATGCTCTGTGCAGAGTGGTAAGCACTGCTTCAAAGGTCCCAGGTAGCATCATTTGGTTTTTTTCTTCAGTGGCGGTGTTTTGGGAAACGAGCAGGCAGATAGACTGGCCAGTTCTGCACAGCTTGGTGGTGAACTGATGTATAACAAGCTAGATGTTGTGAAGGTCCTTTAGGAGTGAGATCAACAGTGTGGAGGCACAGATAGATCATTACTGTCTGAGGAGAATGGCGCTGCATGGAGTTACCAGGGGATCTGACAGTCTGGTTGATACTCAATACTCAAGAGAAAGGCAAGATGGAAACACAATCAGACAGTTGCTGGTGCCTTCGGAATTGGAACTCTTCGCTTTCTGCTGAAGATAGAGATAGAGCACTTATGGGAGTGTCCCAAGTGCTGTGATGATGATTCTTAATTCAACATTCTTACTGTTTTGACATTACAAGACCTTGAGACAGAAGGAGTTTAAGTTACAACTGGAGCTGAGTGGGTTCATGTAACAGTCAGAAAGAAGAAATGCAGAAAAGTGCATTACGACAGCAGAAATCGACAAACGCATGGTGATTATTGGTATTGAATGAGTTTAAATATCTTTACATTCAACCCTTAGTGAGTATGACCAATTAATCTGCCCTTGACATTTTTTTAATGGTCAGTAGCTGGTAGGTATAAAAGTTACTGGCTTGCAATTTGCATTGTTGTGTGTGTGTTAGAGATTTATCCATTTGGCAGAATAATCCTTCAGCGGCTAGCATGTGTTTTAGTCCTTGTTTACATGCTGCAAACATGTGACAATAACTTGGGACTTGCCAGCCATACCCCACGTGCGCTTTGACATGAATCTCTTTGGGGAACATTATTCCCACTTTTGTCTTATAACCCTTTTGAAATTAACACAAAAAGCTATCTTTGGCAGTTTGACAGATACAACAGTAGACGAAATAGAGACTCTGATTCTGGAATTTTGCATGAATCACAATAAATAGTACTTTCCACAGGTGAAATCAACTGATATTCCCTTCTTCAGGAAATTAATAATAATATATATAATAAGAAAACTCCACAGGGGAGCAAACACAGCAGGAGTCTACCGGTCATTGGTAGAATATCATTTGTCGACAATTTTTTCAGCCCATTATCATCCTAAACAATCTCGGAAGGTGGCCCAACCTGGGTCATGATGCCAGGCCCCAGTAAATCTCCTGCTGCGCTTAATGAAATATGTAATTTATCAGATGAGATGAAGGTGTATCAACAGTTACTGGTGAGATTTGGTTCATTTGCCACTGGTGTAATATCGCTGTGGCAGCAGCCGACTGCCTTTCATGGTCGAGTAACAAGCGAGATCTGACGCAGGCACCACTGCTCCTATAGTACAATAATAAATATAAGTAACGCTAAGAATAAAAAAAATGTTGGTCTTTCTTTTTAAAGTGACATTTCTTCAGTTTATGGCCTATATATCAAATAACTAGCACAGTAAGTGAAAAAAACCTGCTCACTGCAGAAACAATTCAAAAAATCCAAATTACCTATTTATCAGATTAACAGAACTGACAGACTCACCATTACTGAGAGCCTGAGAAATGCTGTGAACAACTGTTTCTTTTTCCGCCTTGCTTGGGATGCCAGGTTTCAAGTTAAGCAAGTTGTACTTAAAGTCAAGTATCTGTCTTTGATCAAAAGTGTCAGACTTCTGCAATTCTTCACCCAGATTGCGCATCATATCAAGCACGATGAGATATTCTGTGGAGGAAAAGGGATTAATAACAATAATAAATCTGGTATATGCAGTCACAGCAATGAAAATAAGACGGGCTGCAGGAGCTACCATTCTAGATAAAAAATTAGGAATAAGTTCAGAAGAGAACAATCCCCGAGGGGGTTCCAGGGCTCCATTGTGGGGAAAAAAGAAGGGACCCACTGCCTGCCCAAAAGCAAGTCGTAAGAGTCGACTAAATTGGAGCTTCCTTCGAAAGTCGGAGTACGTCTGCCTGAGAGTCAAGGAACCCACAGACCTGCAAAATTGATGTGCAGGCAACACTGAGTTTCCAAGACAGGACTAGAGTCCAGAAGTGGAAGTACAACCATAACTTTTCACCAGAGTTTAAAGCCGGTGAACGCAAAGATGAAGAAGAAGCCAAGAGAACAATTCAGCACAGAATCAATTCTAAATTACACTCAAAGACAGCAAATCAATGGTTTGCACATTTTCAGAGAATGCCTTGCGGCTCCATACCATATGAGGCATACAAGAAAAAAAAAAGGACGTACAGCACGGTGCAGACCAAGAAACAAGATGACAAGATAACATCAAAAAACTCAACAACAGCACCATGTGACTAGGGTCAAGGCGGCCTGAAAAGCCAGAAGCAAAACTTCATATCTCCCCCGACACCGGAAGAGTTAAAAGAGGACATGAAAAAGGAAGAAGTCACAGCACAATGTAATCATTTCTTCTTCTGTTCACCGGCTGTAAACTCTGGCAGAAAGTTCTAGTTGTTCATCCGCCTTGTATGAGGCAGCGCAGAAGAAACCTACTAACCTGTCCCTTATTTTGACACTGTGACTACAGTGAAACCTCGTTAACACAAACTCGCTGAAGACGACACTTGTTTAACCCTTTGGAAACGGAGCCTTTCTGGAGTTTCAGTGTTAAGAAAAGGGCTTAGTTTACACACAAACAATAATAATAATAAAAAAAAAACAATTTAACGTATACACAACTATATATGTACATAGGAAATGGAATGAACTGCCAAATTACTGCCTTTATTTTACCACTTTTGCAGTGTATGTGCGGCGGGGGTGGGGGGGGGGGGTTGAGCCCGAGAATTTACGGCCGCACATAGCCAGTGCTGTCGCCATGACTGTGCAGGTAAGGATAAAAAAATCCCCAGCCTTACCGAGGATTCGAACCAATGTCTCTCGCTTGAGCCGCTCCTCATGGAATGAACTAATATCACACTGACGCCTCAAAGTTTACTCACATTAGCTATCAAATTTGCATATTTATGCATGCATTAAACAAAAAAATTACAAACATGACTAAACTAAAAAAAATCTGGCTAAATTTTCTGATGAATGAAGCCTGAATAAGTTCTAACACTTGAGTTTGGGGAAGTAAGGCTCATGTAGGCCCTTCAAACACCTCTAGCATTTAGTTATTTTTCTTTTCCTGCCTCCTAGTACATTTTGGTTGGTATAACACAAGTCCTTTTCACTATTGTTGGACACAGGTAACCAACCCCCCTCCCACCCCCACACCCGCAAAAAAAAAAACCGATGTAAAACTACAGAACACATCAAACTTTCATGAAAGTCATTAGTGAACAGCTACATTTGTAAGAAATGCAAGAAGCAATTTGAATGGCTTAAACGAAAACCTGCCAGCCAATCTCAAGGCTTGTAAATTACAGTGCCGACGGATTGGCCCATTCGTCTTTTCGGGTATTTTGCTGTTTGACCGATAGATCAGCCGAGTCGTCTCCAAACGGTTAACACATACACATTTTGATTTGAGCCATATTATATCCTTCCTAAGTCCTTGGCTAGCATGAAATTTTCCATCTTTTAAAATTCGTGTTAATGAGGTTTTACTGTAGTAGAATAAATTTCTTCTTGTGCTCTTTATATCTTAATGGAACACAGACCTTCAACCAACTCACACCAAGTTGTTCTTACTGTTGTTATCAACTTTAGTTTACCCCATGTCCTCCCCATCTCTCCCTCTTCACTATTTAATCTGCTTCTCCGCGTGTTTTTGAGTCTGTCTTTATTCTTTTTACCTTGTGGTTTCCAGGGCAAGGACATACCAAGTATAGTTTTCTTAGATTTCACTGGCTGAAAATTCTGGTTGTGCGCCCGTTTATAATTGTAGGAATGACGTATACACACCGGAACCTATCAATCAAATACCTTTCTTAAATGTTTGTGTATTCTAGGCAAAGCAATAATGTCTTACTGTGTTCGTAAATTGTTGCTGTGATTGTTATTCGACATTTGCTTCGCTAATATAAATTTATGTAACCTATGGTGCCATTTAAATGGGTTGAAATGAATTCTGTCTGTATTCCATAGTCGTGGATTTCAAGCTGTACGATAGACATGGCCAATAAGACACCTTTTATTGGGGGTTGACCATGTTTTTTAGTGCACTTGTATTCATGGCGAGGCGCAGACGCCGTCTGGAGGTGACAGGTTCAATTCCCGGCACGGTAACTATAGCCTTCAATTTTTATGTTGTCTAGTGTGTTCTTCTATCTTTCTACTTCTATCTATGAGTGCTGATCAATACACTTAATGTTACTCGATTAATTCATAATATATTTAACGGCCTCAAAGGTTCCCCCTCTGTTTATTTATAGGCTCAAGTCTTGTTCCAGAACTTGAGTGTCCCATGCACATCCATTTTACATATACCATTTAACATATCAAGGCAAAACTTTTGGCCAAGAGAAACACTGGTGCAAGTCAAACTTTACTGGTCACTGAGTGAATTATAAAAGATAGTGAAGTTCATATTAGAGACAACACTGCAGATATAGATAATCTATTACAAGCGAATGAAAGACGAATGGGCATTTTCTTTTAAGTCAGAGTGTGCCTCGAATAAGCCAGATCTGTAAAATGGATGTATGTGCAACACTCAATTTTTTGTCTAGAAGTGGATCAAACAACCTGCACTTTCCAACAGAGTTTACAGCCGATAAATGTGAAGAAGAAGAGGATACCATTAAAAGTTCTTTATTAATATCCTACCCCAGATGACGTCACAGGACAGTCCAAAACTTTAGAGGGTGGTAAGACTGGGTTTCCCGACTTTCTGATGCTTTTAACGACCCAAACACATCTAGAACTGGCCCTTACCCACCTACGTCCCACGAGAGAATGGATCCTAGGTCCCATGACTGCATGTAGCCTATCTACCACCCCCTGAAATATTAAGACTGTCCTGTGACCTGTAGATTTCCCCTGTTTGGGGTAGGATATTAATAAAGCACCCCATTAAATTCCCCCTCATTCCGTGCAGAAACAGTTAATAAAATGTTTCTAGATTATGAATAATTGTTTTACTAGTAAAATAAGTTTGCACCTACCCAAATCTGTAAGTTTGAGCACGTCCACTCTGTCCTCTGTAATATCTGCCAGGAACTGGTAAATGTGTCTCCAATTTAGCTCCGGATACCCACTGTCCGCAAACTGTTCATTCCTGGCAATAAGGCCGAGAATCTGCAAAAACATTTAGTTAATCAATGAAAGAGCATTTTAAACCCAGCACAGACATGCCTGAAGATCAAGAGTAAATAAGAGGGTTGACTCCATTGCAGTGGGTTGCTTCGAAGTCGCAGTGCATCTGTCTGAGAGGCAAGGAACCAACAGTCTGCATAGAAATAATTCAGATCTGTAAAAGAGATGTGTACACAACTCAGGTTCTGAAAGAAGCTTAAAGTCCAGAGGTAGAGGAACAATCAGAACTTTCCGCAGGAGTTTACAACTGGTGAACGCAGAGAACAAGAGGAGACTGCAGTGGGTTTTACCCTACTACATGGCATGGTCTCTGCTTACTAACAGCATCCCACAAAGCATAAAATCCTTAGCACCAGTGATGATTCCCAGGGATCTTGTAAAAGTGCACATGTAAACCAATTTCAGAGTCAGCCAAATAGTATAATCACTCCAGCCTGGGCCCAGGACCCCTGTGGGGTGGGGTGGGGTGGGGGAGGGGTGAATATGCCCACTGGCTCCCTAACAATCATGTCATAAAAGACAACTATTTAGGGACTTTCTCTTCAAAGCCACAGCACATCTGCCTGAGCGTGAGGAACAATTAGTCTGCACATAAAAATGTTGCATCAAGAATCAACATCGCAGCACTTGGTACACTCCCATAAGTATTCTGCTCCATCTTCAGCAGCAAGCAAAGAGTTCCGATTCCGATGGTGCCAGTAACTGGCTGTATATTTGTCTCCCCCTTCCTTGAGTGTTTAGCTTCGGCCAGATCCTCTGGTAACTCCTCGCAGCACTATTCTTCTCAGACCCCAATGATCTGTTTGTGCCTCTGTTCACTTGCTCCCAAAGGGCCCTCACAACATCTAGCTTGTCATACATCAATTCATTGCCTGTTAATTTCCCAAAACAACTGCATGACTTGGAGAAAATATCTAAAGGACGCTTACTACCGGGGATCTTTGAAGTTATGCTTGCCACTCTGCACAGAGTATGCCTGTCTCCACCTTTCTCGACATGTTCTATGTGTCGGTCAGTCTGCATACAAGCAAGCCAAATCTGCATGTGCATGCAAAATGTGGCTTCTGGAACAAGGTCGAAGTTCAGAAGTAGATGAACAACCAGAACTTTCTGCCAGAGTTTACAGCTTGAGAATGCTAAGAAGAAGAGGTACAATCACTTTGCCAAGAGAGTCACAGGACAGACATGTTTCCCCACAATCAGCTTGGGCCAAAATGGCTTTCAAGTTACAATGCCGCTTCTGTGCCAGAAAGACCTAACTTTGTACACAGCCTGGGCTGGAATTTAATTTAAAATATCCATTGCTCCCTAACAAATGTGTTATAGAAAGTGGATTATTACAGGTGTTTGCTTTCAATTTGGAATGTATCTGCCTGAGAGTTGAGGAGCCAACAGTCTGCATTCAAGTAAGCCAGATTTGTAAAATAGATATTTGTGTGTGTGTGGAAAACTCAAGTTCTGCAACAAGACTAAAGTCCAGAAGTGGACAAACAATCAGAAATTTCAGCCAGTCTTTACAGCTAGAGCAACCAAGAGGTTTTGAAAGAGGCAGGAGCCCGAAGACAACTTATCACAGACATCAGAAGGAGACAGCCATCGTTTTTAGGCCATTTTATGAGAAGAGGGAAAATAGAACATGTTGTGACCCCTGGAAAGATCTGTGGAAGGAGAGACAGAGGAAGACAATGAGAGACGATTCTTGACGGTCTTGTTGCATGGCATGGAGGTGTGTCGGCACACGAACTGATACATGCTGCAGGAGATCGCAGACTGTGGAGAGGCATGATCGCGTACGCCAGTCGGCAAGGCACCTGCTGATGATGATGATTACAGCTGGTGAATGCTAAGAAAAAGAAGAAGGATCAGAAATAATGGTGTCAGGGAACAAGTTGGGATGAACCAGTGCTAAACTATAATAACAGACAACCGATCAAATGGTTCAGACATGTGCCAAGACTACTATTAGACAACCACAGACAGCCCTGTCACTTAGACACAATGGAAGCAGATTTCAGAGCCACTATCGACCAGCTAACGACCAAGTCATCTTATTTATTCCTAGCCTTTGCATGCAGCTCACCATTTGTCCTTCCCTTCTTTTTTATTTTACTCTCTAGTTTCCTTCTCCATGTTTTTTGGTCTACCTTTATTCCTTTGATCTCCACTGTAAAAACATCCTAGTTATTTAGTTATCAAGTTTTATCAACATGTGTCCTATCCAATGCTAGTGTCTCATCATTGTTTTTTGTTTTTCCCATTTCCCCTGGCTGACCTTGGTAATTTAAAGGTTTCATCCTCACAAAGACTTGACCTTGACCCTGCACAACTTGCTGGAATACTGATGAATGATAAGGCAGATGTGGTTAGGGCCTTCTGGTAGAACATGTAAAATTTGGAGGAGCAATTGAATCACCAGTCTGTCGAGAGTGGTGCAGTGGGGAGTGACGAAGGGATCTGGCTGATACTCGATGCTCACAGGAAAGGCAAGATGGACGTATAATCAGAGTGCTACTAGCATCATTAGTACTGAAACTCTGTGCTGGCTGCTGAGGATGGGGACGGAGTGCTTAATAGAATGCCCTGAGCGCTATGATGTTGGTTCTTGAGTCTACTCAACTTAATTGTGGCACTTGATACGGCAAAATATTTCAGTTTCCGAGACAAGACGCTGTTTACTAATCCAACCTTCTTTGATGTTCAGATCTTTTCGGATGTCAGCATTTCTCTTCTTCTTGGTCCAAGGTATTTTGAGAATCCCAGGCTATAGCTGTAGACTTTAAAATGACAGCAACAGATACAAAACCAAAGCTGTAGACAGTAGTAAGACAAATCTGTACTGAACAACTGTAGGACAACACATGAACAACTGTCTGTAGGACAACACATAAACATCTGTAGGACAACAGATGAACAAATGTAGGACAACACATGAACAACTGTAGGAAAACACATGAACAACTGTAGGACAACACATGAACAACTGTAGAACAACACACGAACAACTGTAGGACAACAGACGAACAACACATGAACAACTGTAGGACAACACATGAACATCTGTAGGACAATACATGAACAACTGTAGGACAACACATAAACAGCTGTAGGACAACACATAAACATCTGTAGGACAACAGATGAACAAATGTAGGACAATACATGAACAAATGTAGGACAACACATGAACAACTGTAGGACAACACATGAACAACTGTAGGACAACACATAAACAACTGTAGGAAAACACATGAACAACTGTAGGACAACACATGAACAACTGTAGGACAACACATGAACAACTGTAGGACAACACATCAACATCTGTAGGACAACAGATGAACAAATGTAGGACAACAGATGAACAACTGTAGGACAACACATGAACATCTGTAGGACAACACATAAACAACTGTAGGACAACACATGAACATCTGTAGGACAACACATGAACAAATGTAGGACAACACATGAACAACTGTAGGACAACACATGAACAACTGTAGGACAACACATGAACAACTGTAGGACAACACATGAACAACTGTAGGACAACACATGAACAACTGTAGGACAACACATGAACAAATGTAGGACAACACATGAACAACTGTAGGACAACACATGAATAACTGTAGGACAACACATGAATAACTGTAGGACAACACATGAATAACTGTAGGACAACACATGAACAACTGTAGGACAACACATGAACATCTGTAGGACAACACATGAACACGAACATCTGTAGGACACACACATGAATAACTGTAGGACAACGAACAACTGTATGAACAACTGTATGACAACACACGAACATCTGTAGGACAACACACGAACATCTGTAGGACAACACACGAACATCTGTAGGACAACACATGAACAACTGTAGGACAACACATCAACACCTGTAGGACAACACACGAACATCTGTAGGACAACACACGAACATCTGTAGGACAACACACAAACATCTGTAGGACAACACACAAACATCTGTAGGACAACACATAAACATCTGTAGGACAACACATAAACATCTGTAGGACAACACATCAACAACTGTAGGACAACACATCAACATCTGTAGGACAACACATCAACATCTGTAGGACAACAGATGAACAACTGTAGGACAACACATGAACATCTGTAGGACAACACATGAACAACTGTAGGACAACACATGAACAACTGTAGGACAACACACGAACATCTGTAGGACAACACATAAACATCTGTAGGACAACACATAAACATCTGTAGGACAACACATGAACAACTGTAGGACAACACATGAACAACTGTAGGACAACACATGAACATCTGTAGGACAACACACGAACATCTGTAGGACAACACATAAACATCTGTAGGACAACACATAAACATCTGTAGGACAACACATGAACAACTGTAGGACAACACATAAACAACTGTAGGACAACACATAAACATCTGTAGAACAACACATGAACATCTGTAGGACAACACATGAACATCTGTAGGACAACACATGAACATCTGTAGGACAACACATGAACATATATCTGTAGGACAACACATGAACAACTGTAGGACAACACATGAACATCTGTAGGACAACACATGAACATCTGTAGGACAACACATAAACATCTGTAGGACAACAGATGAACAACTGTAGGACAACACATCAACATCTGTAGGACAACACATCAACATCTGTAGGACAACAGATGAACAAATGTAGGACAACACATGAACAACTGTAGGACAACAGATGAACAAATGTAGGACAACACACAAACAACTGTAGGACAACACACAAACAAATGTAGGACAACACACGAACAACTGTAGGACAACAGATGAACAAATGTAGGACAACACATGAACATCCGTGGGACAACAGATGAACAACTGTAGGACAACACACGAACAACTGTAGGACAACACATAAACATCTGTAGGACAACAGATGAACAAATGTAGGACAACACATCAACATCTGTAGGGCAACACATGAACATCTATCTGTAGGACAACATATAAACATCTGTAGGACAACACATAAACATCTGTAGGACAACACATAAACATCTGTAGGACAACACATAAACATCTGTAGGACAACAGATGAACATCTGTAGGACAACACATGAACATCTGTAGGACAACACATAAACATCTGTAGGACAACAGATAAACATCTGTAGGACAACACATGAATAACTGTAGGACAACACATAAACATCTGTAGGACAACACATAAACATCTGTAGGACAACACATAAACATCTGTAGGACAACACATGAATAACTGTAGGACAACACATAAACATCTGTAGGACAACACATAAACATCTGTAGGACAACACAACACATCTGTAGGACAAACATCTGTAGGACAACACATGAACATCTGTAGGACAACACATGAACATCTGTAGGACAACACATAAACATCTGTAGGACAACACATGAACATCTATATGTAGGACAACACATAAACATCTGTAGGACAACAGATGAACAAATGTAGGACAACACATGAACAACTGTAGGACAACACATGAACAACTGTAGGACAACAGATGATCAACTGTAGGACAACACACGAACAACTGTAGGACAACACATGAACATCTGTAGGACAACAGATGAACAAATGTAGGACAACACATGAACAACTGTAGGACAACACATAAACATCTGTAGGACAACACATGAACATCTGTAGGACAACACATAAACATCTGTAGGACAACACATGAACAAATGTAGGACAACACACGAACAACTGTAGGACAACACATAAACATCTGTAGGACAACACATGATGAACATCTGTAGGACAACAGATAAACAAATGTAGGACAACACATGAACAACTGTAGGACAACACATAAACATCTGTAGGACAACACATGAACATCTGTAGGACAACACATGAACATCTGTAGGACAACACATGAACAAATGTAGGACAACACATAAACAACTGTAGGACAACACATAAACAACTGTAGGACAACACATAAACATCTGTAGGACAACACATAAACATCTGTAGGACAACACATGAACAAATGTAGGACAACACATGAACAACTGTAGGACAACACATGAACAACTGTAGGACAACACATGAACAACTGTAGGACAACACATGACCAACTGTAGGACAACACATGAACAACTGTAGGACAACACATGAACAACTGTAGGACAACACATGAACAACTGTAGGACAACACATGAATATTGTCTGACCTTGGGAACAAATTGAGAGTAGTCAGCACTTTCAAAAGAGATCATTTCTTGAACAAGGTCAATCCAAGCCTGGTGGTTAAAAAAATCAGTCATTTAGCACTATTTAAAATATCCACCACACTGTGGCTATAAAGAATCGTGAACTGGTCCACCACACTGCGACTATAAAGAATTGTTAACTGGTTCACCACACTGTGGTTACAAAGAATGGTAAACTCGTCTACCACACTGTGGCTATAAAGAATTGTGAACTGGTCTACCATACTGCGGCTACAAAGAATTGTGAACTGGTCCACCACACTGCGGCTACAAAGAATAGTGAAATGGAAAATAAATCATTTACATCTTTTAAGAATATCTATGCAAAAACTAAAAGAAAAGGTGATCAAGAAAAATAAATCAGTTATTTAACCTTTTATACATGTAATTCTTGGTGGGGTCAAAAAGTTCCAGAACAGATGCAACAGAGTATATATTATGCATTTTTTACATTATGTACAATAATTATATATACACAGATTTAATTTTGGTGTTTTATGTACAATTTGTAGAAATTACATGAATTAAAATAGTGTTAAAAACATATATTTGACTTACGACGAGTTCGACCTACAAAAAATATTTAAGCTGGTTAACTCTTTCGGCACCAGGCAGAAATCATTTAACTCCTTCTATTCCTAAAGTTCTAGCCAATGTTTGTGTCCAAAGTGAGCTGCAGTAGTGGAGTAGCTAGACACTCACATGTGGGCCAAAAGGTTATGGATTCAAATCCGCATCAAGTCTTTTTTTTTCTTCAAAAACAACCTTGGCTCTGAGGTCTGTTTTATCTGAAATGGGTACCAGGCAAAGTCCTGGAAAGTGAAGGCAGCCGGCTAGATGCTGACCCCAGCACTCACTGAGTCTCCACTGGTCTACAAAAATATGAGCAAGCATCATATGCCTGATGAGTTACTGGAGGGTCCTGTACTTTGGTTTGATTCGTGTCCAAAGTAGTTAGAAGAATAACACCATGGGACAAAAACAGTAAGGCTAATAATTTGAATATAATGAGTTGTTCTTCTTTTAGCCCATCACATGTGGCAATGGTAGTCGTGTCTATTCACAACCTTCTGTCTTTGGTATTTTCAATGAAAGCGGACACAAATGATCTTCCATGCAGTGATGTCAAACTGCCCAGCCTCTTCTCTCTCTCTGCCTTTATATCCCCTCCAACACTGCCACCGTCACAATGTACTCCAGTTTTCTCCCTCTCATCACATGACCAGAGAATGTAGATTGTCTCCTTCTGATGTGGGCATATTAGTTCTTTTTGTGAGTCAGTTACTTTCAAGAAAACTTTCATTACACTTTTTACCTGTCTAGGACATTCTGATGCTTTATTAATATCCTACCCCAAACAGGGGAAATCCATAGGTCATGGGACAGTCTAATATTTCAGGGGGTGATAGATAGGCTGCATGTAGTCATGGGACCAAGGCTGCATGCAGTTGTGGGACCTAGGCTGCACTCTCTCGTAGGATGTAGGTGGGTTGGGGTTAGGACCAGTTCTAGATGTTTTGGGGTCATTTAAAGCATAAGAAAGCCAGGAAACCCAGTCTTACCACACTCTAAAATATTGGACTGTCCTGTGACGTCATCTGGGATAGGATATTAATAAAGCACCGGCATTCTCATCATTCGTCGATAAAACCACTGTCGATAATCGTCCAACTGTTCATGCATTAGTACAATATTTATTTGCAATTGTTGGGAAAAAGGAACAGACCCACTGTCTACCCAAAAGCATGTTGGTCTACCCAAAAGCATGTTGGTCTACCCAAAAGCATGTTGGTCTACCCAAAAGCATGTTGGTCTACCCAAAAGCATGTTGGTCTACCCAAAAGCATGTTGGTCTACCCAAAAGCATGTTGGTCTACCCAAAAGCATGTTGGTCTACCCAAAAGCATGTTTGGTCTACCCAAAAGCATGTTGGTCTACCCAAAAGCATGTTGGTCTACCCAAAAGCATGTTGGTCTACCCAAAAGCATGTTGGTCTACCCAAAAGCATGTTGGTCTACCCAAAAGCATGTTGGTCTACCCAAAAGCATGTTGGTCTACCCAAAAGCATGTTGGTCTACCCAAAAGCATGTTGGTCTACCCAAAAGCATGTTGGTCTACCCAAAAAAGCATGTTGGTCTACCCAAAAGCATGTTGGTCTACCCAAAAGCATGTTGGTCTACCCAAAAGCATGTTGGTCTACCCAAAAGCATGTTGGTCTACCCAAAAGCATGTTGTGAGAGTCAACTAACGGGGGAGCTTCCTTCTAAGTGCAACTGTCTGAGAGGCAAGGAACCAACAGTCTGCACACACACGAGTCAGATGTCTTAAATGGAAGTGCCCGCATCACACAGGTTCTGGAACAGGACAATAGCAGACAAACAACCAGAAGTTTCTGCCCGAGTTTACAGCCGGTGAACATGAAGGAGAAGAAGCGAAAAATTAGCCAAAGAAAGTGTTGGTTTCAGAGTGCTGGATGAATTTATATAAAACCTTACATTCTGAACAAAATCTTCCCTACCTCAATAGGTGCTCTGTCGGGTCCGTTTGCTACAAGTGCCAAAAAAAGAAAGCAATAGCATTAGCACTTACAATATATTAAAGGTAAATTACACTGACAAATAAGGTTTTTAAACAGCAAACTCTCTGTGTGGGCTCCTGGGCCCTGTCTGTGGGGGTGGGGGAAATAGACCCCCGCCCCCAACAAAGCATGTCATTAATGGCAACTAATTAGAAATTTGCTTAAAATGGATGAGTTGGGCTGACAGGGGCGGATATCCCAGCCTAGTTGTAAAACAGTTAGAAAAAAATATCTATAGTAACATCATCATCATTAGGTGCCTTGCCGACTGGCGTGTGCGATCATGCCTCTCCATAATCTGCGATCTCCTGCAGCATGTATCAGTTTGTGTGCCGACACACCTCCATGCCATGCAACAAGGCTGTCAAGCATCTTCTCTCGTTGTCTTCCTCTACCCCCCCCCCCCCTTCCACAGATCTTTACAGTGGTCACAACATCTTCTATTTTCATTCTTCTCATAACATGGCCGAAAAATGATGACTGTCTCCTTCTGATGTCTGCTATAGTAACATATGTTTCAAAATAGTGAATCATTCAGTCGAGTGATGCTCTCCTCAAGGAATGCTGGCAGCAATGGATCTCCAACACCACTCTGTCTCTTGTCTTGGTTGTCAGACCGCTGTCAGTCCATCCCTGGATGTTTTCCTCCACTCGTATCACTATCAACCTCTTGCTTTCTTGCCTTCAACTGTTCCCTCTGGTATGGCTTGTAAAAGGATGTTATTCTTGTAATATGGCCAAAATATCTAAACTGTCTCTCTTTAAAAAAAAAAATTTTTTTTTTCAGCAACTCTTATTTTCATTCCTAGCAGTGAACAGGTTTCACTTTGCCAGTAAGAGATAGATACATATATAGGAACAAATCAGCAGTTAGTTAACAAGACATCAATAGAAATGAGAGGGTGTGATCACAAGGCACACGTGTCTCAAACATGTTAATATTACATTGTGTATTCCCTGTGTGGGTTCTGGGCCTCAGCTAGAGAAAAGGTGGGGGTGGGGTGGGGGGGGGGGGAAGGAAGAATAAAAGACGACTGGCCCTCTAGTAAGCATGTCATAAAAGTTTCTTTTTCTTCTTTGCGTTCGTCGGAGTAAGGTAAATGCATGTGCTAATTTGCAGCAGAGAAGCATTATTTGCACTCTTCTGCCGATACTTCCAACTGCATCTATTTCTTAATGAGGTTAATGAACTTCCCGGATAAATTGGTGTGACAGGGACATGTTGTGGCCTTATTTGTGTGGTGTTCTTTTTGTCCCCCTACCTTCAGGTGTTGCCCTTGGAGACCCCGTCCAGGGCATCAGCGGGTAGACAGGTCGGCCCTCAAGGGAAGGCAGGGGCAGATCAGGAGCATTCCTCGCCAACCAAGGAGGCTTCCATAAATGCTGAGCCGAAAGATGATGCTCTGGTTCTAGGCTCGCCCAAGGAATCATCACGTCCTGCCTATGTCTGCTTAATCTCACATCCGTATGTTGAGCTTTCCAAATGTCATGTGCTGCGCCCTCTGCAAATCAGCAGGGAGCATCCCGTGGGTCCGGGACTTCGATGACCACACAAATAGGTACATTTTTATTGGGCATGTTAAGACACCTTTAACGTTGTTTCATCTTAGCGAGACACTATACCACAAGCCTGCCATTGGTTTGGGCTCCCCTTTTAGGTCCCACACTCTGGCAAACAGAGCTAATGGTAACAGGCCCTGTCAATTAGTAGGACACTTTTCGGCCGGACGCTCGGGACTTTGTTTTTGAGCCATGTATCAGATGGACATTTAGGCCAAACCAGCACACTGACAGTGTGTATCTAAACGCGATGTTGGTGACACTGAGGAACAGCAAGGGATGTACGGAGACATTACTGTTCTGTGAGCAAATCTCTTGATATGGGGTTGAATCTCAGCAGTACAGTAATTCTTCAAGATTGACAGACATTTTAACTGAGGGTTGTCATTTAGCATTGTGTTTGGCTAGCGGTGGCTACCTATGGTTCAAATGGCCTTTGACAGACGTTTTCACCCATGCATTGGGAGTGGGCTGATATTAGCCAGGCCAGACACTACATCTCTAGAGGCCACTAACTCCGAGGTCCCCTGCCAACTGGGTTCAGCTCACAAAGGTCAGCACTTATCCATGACGCACAAAGAGGACATGCAGTAGGGTCTTAGGAATCTCTAAAACCATCCAAAAGCCAGCTGGCGCTGGAGGCGAGGTACGGGGTAACTCCTTATACACATCACAACGGCCTTAAACTTTCTCTTATGCCGGTGATCAATATCACCGCGCCACAAAAGTTGATTAATTAATGGAGTTCCCTTCAAAGTTGGAGTGTATCTACTTGAAAGTTGAGGAATGAACAGTCTGCATATAAATATGCCAGATCTGTTAAAAACGGATGTGAACACAAAACGTAATTTCTGGAACAAGACTTCAGCCTAGAAGTAGACGACCAACCATAACCTCTGCCAGAGCTTACAGCTGGTGAATGCAATAAAAAAGACGAAATCTGGTATACACGTAGCTGCGTAATAGATTTTAACCTGTTCACAGGTCTTACGTGGTGGGTCATTTGTTTAGTATGTGATGAATTAATGGGAAAGAAAAACAAGCAAGCAGACAAGCACAGGTTAATTACTTACCGTCTACACGGTCGTTTGCAAACCTAATGTTGTCAACTCCTCTAAGACACTGTATCTTCTCTTCTACCTAGAGTTGAAGTGGAAATTCTAAGTATTATATTATATGTCATCATGAGGCTCTGAAGGTTGTCGATTTCATTTTTGCTTTAGGTAAAAAAGTAAAGGTCCATTTTCCATGCCTTTGGGCATATAGGGCAAAACCGATATTTTGTAGACCAATTAGCACAAGATGGGTGATGTGATTAACATCATGACGGCCGCTATTACTTCTCAGGATTGCATCCGGTACCCACTCTAGGCTGGGTCGACCTTGGAGTCAAGGTCATTTTTGCCAAAAATCCGGCTCTGTCAAGGAGCGAACCCAGACCTTCCAATCCACACGCGAACGTCTAGCCACTACGCCACGGCGACTCCCATTTCTGCTTCATAAGATCAATTTAATTAGGGGATCCAAGGAGCTGTCAATGAAACTAATGAGTTCATGCTTTTGACGCTTTGGTCAGTTAGCCTTGTGCTCTACACTGAGCAGTCTGTTACACAGCTGACCTTCTGACTGCACGAGCAAATGGTGTGATGAAGCGGCAGCAGCCGTCAATGTAAAGGTAAAGGCAAAGTCCAGAGATGTGAACCAGCTTCTTTGCACACGGTTATAAACCAAAAGTGCTCTGCCACCAGTACGGACACCTGATAAGAAACTGTCAGCTTATGTTGCCGTCCACACACAACTCCGTAGCTACAGTGACATTCCTCCATTTACCCCAGAGTGTTAGCTCTGGTACCAATTTTCTAAAGGTGGGTAAACCCAGGGAACCACCCGGTTTCGGACACCGGCCATGGGATGCATCAAGTCGCAGCTGGATTTGAAAGTGAGTTTCCTACCGATTGCGCTATCTGAAGTCAACAGTGACACGGTTTTGCTGAGTAACCATGCTATTAATACATAAACACTAACTGTGACTCGTACAATAAAGTACCCAGATTTACTCAGTGGCCACAATTTTAAAAGCGGGGATCTTCACAGGCCAGAGTCCTGGGCATAAAAAGATCATTAATACAACGCAAATGGCAATAATCCGTGGGCCACTTGCTAGGCATCTGCGGGTCAGTCTGGACCCATTGCCGCTGGCTGAATAGCTCTGATTTAAGTGAAGTAGGCAATCTGAACCCACATCCACTAAAGACACCAGTTATGAGAAAAATCCCGCAACAGCAAGCATACTAGCCAGTGCTTCACTTTGCTACCATCACATATGAACAGCACATAAGTTTCCTTCTGGTCCAATGTGGAGGACTAGGTATTCAGTATGCCTGGTAGCCAGTTTACGTGTGGGCCGGCAAAATACCTTATGTAATAATTTCACTTGTGTATAGCCAGCTTATTGTGTCCAACTACTTTCATTAACAACAAACTGCATTTCTGGTGGCGACTGTTGGCTTTTGCACCTCTAGCAACTGCCTTATGCATTTACTGCATGCACATATTTATGAATAATGCCGGGACTAATTGTTTGCTCCCCAGTTTTTCTAATGGGACAGTGAGGGATATTTCAGATTTTCACTGGCACAGGAAAGCAGCAAGCATGGGTTAACCCAATTGCAGTGAAGTTTAAACCCTGAATAAGACTAAGACTAACGAACAGTATAAATAAATTGAGAAATAGCTGGCTGAGTGCCAAGAGCACTGGATTCTCTTATGGGAGACCTGGGTCTGATTCTTAGTCCCCCGTGTGGGTTCCAGGGCCTTATTACAGGGAAAACAAGAATAGTCCCACTGCCTACCCAAAAGCATGTCCTAAAAGTCGACTAATTGGTAACTTCCTTCGAAGTCAGAGTGCATCTGCCTGAGAGGCAAGGAACCAACAGTCTGCACACAAATGCGTCAAATCTGTCAAACGGATGCACACGCAACACTCAGGTTCTAGAACAGGACTGCAGTCCAGAAGTGGACGGACAATCAGAACTTTTCACCAGAGTTTTACAGCTGGTGAACGCAAAGAAGAAGAGATCCTTAGTAAAGGATGGAGACAGTTTTCTGCCAGGGGGCACCAGCCCAGGGTCTTAAATCCTCAGGATCATAAACCTATACAGACATAAAAAGTGGTGAACAGAGACAGTAGAGACAGTTTTCTTATTCCATAAACTATGTTCAAGTAATATGTTCCTTACCTCCTCTTCTGACTTTGTCCCAACAATTTTAGCGATACTTGATATACTCTCAGGCTCATATCTGCAGATTTAACAGATAGGAAAGAAGCTAATGGATTTATCCTTTTATCCAAAATTAGTCATGACAAATGTTTTCGTACAAGGAAGACAATACTTCTGATGTTTCTACAGCTATATTTTATAGACCAATCGGCGCTTGGGTAATCTGTTCAAGGTGAATAATAATATTAATAAAGGACTTATTGAAATTAATTGTTAGGCCAAAAGGTGCAGATGCTGCAGTCTAGCTGTAAACTATAACATGCCAAATGTCCTTTCAAGGGGAATGCAGATGAAGAACTATAAGAAGGAGATGTCGATATCTTATCCTTATTCTTAGTGTTTACCGGCTGTAAACATCCGCAGACATTTCTGGCTGTTTGTCCACTTCTGGACTTTGGTCTTGTCCCAGAATCTGAGTTTTACGCACAGACTGTTGGTTCCACATTTCTTGGGCAGACGCACTCCGACTTTGAAGCAACCACCCTTAATTAGTTGCCTCTTACAACATGCTTGTTATGAGAGCAGTGGGTCTATTCTTTTAACCCTCAAAATGGGATCTCAGAACCCACAGGGAGAATAAGGGAATGCAGAATTTACAACACTGCACTTGAGGCATTCCCACACATGCTCCGTCTCCTTCTTTAGTAACCAACAATTAGTTCCCATGCTAATGGTACAAGTTGCAACCTGATTAAAAGTCTTCCGCCTGTTTCCTCTTCAATGTTAGAATATCTTCCAGAGCCTCTACTCACAACCTGCTGAATTAATCTTTCAGTGCATGGATTTCATGTCTGTTCTTTTACACTGTCCATCTGATCCCACAGACCTTTCACCACATCTGTATTATCATACAGTAGCTCACCGCCCAGTGGAGAGGCAGCAGCTAACATATCAGCCTGCTCGGTATCTGCAACACCTGAATGTATTGACCATGATTTCCCACAGCTGGAATCATCACCTTATCCAATTTGTGAAATACACAAAAGGCTACACAATAAACCTATAACTCATGATGACGAAAAAGTGAAAAGTTACCATGTATTGTCTAAAACAGAAGACAGCTCAAAAGGCATATACTAAACAGAAACGTGGAAAAAAAACATCCATCTTCATCATGTAGCAGGTCCTTTGCAGAAAGAACGTCAGAGGAAAAAAAAACATACTAAGTTTTAATCCATTATTAAAATTAGTACCTTTTTAAAGCTTCAAGCAGACGAGATTTCTCTTTCAATGTCCACTTCTGATGTACAAGAAATCTATTCTGCACTTCAGATATATACTGAGCTTTGCGAGTGTTTTTCTTCTTCCAAAAATGATTCTTACTCTTTGGGCTGGATTTCCGCTTTGGAGAATTGTTTTCTTCAGCCATGCTCAAATATTGATTGTTGATTTCTGTGAGATAAAAGTAAAGTTAATAGTTTTTCATGAATCAAGATACAAAGATAACACACCACCCCCAGTATCTACCACAACATGCAGTTCTCCAGACATAATTACTATATTTCCAACCTGTCTTCAAACAAGGTATCCAAAACATAAAAACTATACTGAAAAGAAAGTTATGTATAGTTATCTGATTGCACTTAATTTTTTTCAAGTAAAACTGTGTACCAGGGTATGTAAAAAGCAGATTCAAATGTTGTTTACAGTGTCGAATGGACATGCTAACAAGAGTTGGGTTGAGTTTTTGTAACCTTTACAATGTAGTCATCAGCTCTGTTGTATGACCATATTTTTTTTTAGCATAACTCATGATGCATGAATGAGAAAGCAACAAAATCTGGGGCGACACTAATCACTGATTATGCAATTGAAATTTTATTACAGGATAATGCTAAACTAAAAAATTCAGTTCATTTTAAAGCAGACTTCATATTCAAGAAGTCACTTATATCCTGCGCTCATGTTCGTGTGTTGGTCTGCCCCAGCCCTGCCTGCCTGGTACCATGCCCTTCTGCTATTATTTTGTTTCCAATCTGCCATGGCCTTGATATGACTAAAATACTTCAGCTTCTGACAAAAGATGCTGTTTATTAGCCAATCTTCTTTGATATTCAGATATGTTAGAATCTCAGTAATTCTGTTCTTCTTTGTCCTTGGTTTTCTGAAAATCTTTCTTTGCAATTCAGCTGAAATTTTTTTTTTTTTTAACCTGATGACTCTCAAAATCAAAATTTGGAGTTTCGTTTATCATCATCATAGCGGCACTGAGATCAGATTTTTTCAATGACATATTTTAATCTTAATTTTGAACATATTATAACTGTTTTTATTAAAAGTCAACGTATTTGCTTAAATATAACAGCCCTTATTTTTATATAATATTCACATACAATTAATAAATGATTTACTATGGAATCTCAATTACGCCTACCTTATCAACAGCACCCCTTCTGTCGAACATAATGATTATTAATTACCTACCTTCAGGCTGAAGCAATAAACATGGCGTAAATACATTCCAAAACAGAATTTAATTTCAGTGTACACTTCTTTTTTTCCACTTCTGTAATGCCTCGCGGCGTCAGGGGAGGAACAGATCTCTGTGTCTCAGATATTTCTGCGGTCCATCTTCTGTGTAGTCCTGTGGATCTGTAACCACTGTGACTGTGTCTGTATAACATTGCTTTCTTTGGTACCCTGTTTGATGCCAATTTTGTGCTGATCTGAATTGATTCAAGACCTGACATCACAGCACTCGGGGCATTCGCATAAGTGCTCCGTCCCATCCTCAGCAGCCAGTGAAGAGTTTCGATACTAATGGTGCCAGTAGCATTCTCATTAAACATCCGTCTTGCCTTTCCTCTGAGCCTCAAGCATCTGCCAGAACATCTCGTCACTCCCCCCTGCATCAATCTCACCAGACTGTGGTGATCAATCTGCTCCTCCAAACTGTACACACTCTCCCACAAGGTACTAACCACGTCTGCCCTGTCATGCATCAGTATTCCACCAAATTGTGCAGAGCCAGTTAGTCGATCGGCCTGTTCATTTCCTAACATGCCAATCTTGTTACATGGCCATACCATCTGATTTGTTGTCTACCTATATAAAGTTCAGTATTGGTATGGTTCTGTGCCGACCTTCCTCTTGATATCAGCGCCCCTATGTCGATCTTTCCTCGTTGCATAGTACAAGTACGTAAATATTTCATTTCTGTTGTGACTATTTTCCTTATGTCTTCTGAAAACAAAGTCCATGTCTGACACTGATAACATAGCATTTGTAACTTAAGGATATTATGTAGAGCAGTGTTCTTTTAGTGTTCATATTCACATACTTGCATTTCAAAATTGGTGCCATTTAGCTCTGTAGAATGTTGATGTTTTTCCTATTCTTGACGCATGGTATTCTGATCATTTTTCTGTAACACTTTAATCCAAAAGCTCCAATCTCTTTCTTCAGTGATTGAGTGAGAACCACCACAGGAAAAATGCATATTTGCATATCTCAATAATTTTACTTTAACTAATAATAATTCCAAACTACTTGACGTAAATTTGCCTAGAAAAACGACAACAGCCAGGGGCTGTTGCGGTTGGTTCTGCAACGTCCTGTAAAGTATACGCAACTAACCTAATAACGGTCCTAAATTATCGAGGCGAAAAATATACCCTAACAGGGCCTTAGTCACGTGTCAATTGCGCACTTCCCGGGACTACAACGCCACCGCCGAATTGCGAACTACCGACAACTTCCGCCACAGCGGCATGGATTGGGGCTAAACTAGATGGCTAGGACTCATGAGCAAATAAAAGGAAGCTGCAGGAGATGCAGTAGCTGCTGCTCGTGAGTCCCAGCCATCTAGTTTAGCCCCAATCCGCGTGAGCGGCGTGGGGGATACTCTCGGCGGAAGTCATCAGGAGCATGCAATTTAAGATGCCGGAAGTGCGCAATTGACACGCGACTGAGGCCCTGTTATGGTATATTTTCCGCCTCTATAATTTAACACCGTTATTCAGAGGATAGCCCATAATTCAACTCATTTGCTTTGGTTCTTCATGCTGTTTAATCTCTGCATCTCTGCATTGCTAAAGCAACTTCTTGTGAGCAGTCTCCATCGCTGTACACTAAAGAGCCCAAGTATTCTAATTGGAAATATGTGACATTTTTTTTTAAAAATTATATTCGATTGATATGGTTGTTGGTGTGCTGTAGTGTATAGTATTAACCCTCTTAGCACGGTCGGGCCGATTATCGGCCGGCGGATGTCTGGCCAAAAACACGGAACGGCTGATCATCGGCCCGATCGTGTTTCGCCTCGAACCGCTAAGAAATCTTCTATTTTGAAACACTGAAAGCGATTCATTCATATTCACTATTGTATTAGCTTTACACATGGCGACTTTCGAGTGTTTGGTATCGAAGTGAAAATTGTTGTTGAATTGTTTAGATAGTGACCTGAACCGCTAAAAGTAAAAGTATGTCTGACTCGTATGTTTCTGCCACTAAACTTAATGTTGATAAAACATTTGAATCAAGTGATTACACTAATTCTGTTGATACTGATGCAGGATTTAGTGTTAGTAGTAATAGTGGGAATCAGATGGGGACGCTGTTCAAACCACAGCCCAACCATGGCTCAGGGTATATGCACCTGAAGGTGTTGACACTCTGGCACATCCATTTCTTGTGCTGACTGATGGTGAAAAACACATGTCACCTAAAGATATTATTGCTGTTTCACATATATATACCTGTTTTTGACTATTGAAATTGAATTGCTTACAACATTTGCAAAAAGGCCAAAGATCAATAAAAATAAAAAGATTTCAAATTAAAAAAATTTTGTTTTTAGTTTTATGTTTCAAGCATTGAAGTTGAAAATTCAAATTTTCTATTTTTAGATATGCAAACGAGATAATTTGCATGATATACATCAATTAATTTTAACGATATTGTGAAAATCATGAACTTCAATCTATATCCTTCAAATAGATATATTATTTCATGGGGTCAGAATAACAGAAATCTGTTTAAAAAAAAAATTAAATAAAGTAATAACCAAATTCACTGAAAAATGCTCCGTGTTTTTGGCTAGACCCGTGCAAGGGTTAAATGAGACGATTTTTTTTTGTTTTAATTTTATTTTTTCAAATTCAGAAAAAGATTTACTTCTTCGCTGTGCTTTTTGAAGACGAAAATTAAATATTTCTAAATCTTGTACACTATTGTACACATATGCAGTATATATAGATATATTCAATGAAAAGTTCTCACCGATATCTTGTACTTTCGTCTCACACAAACCAAATTCAATTGTTTTTACATTGAAGAAAAGTTGTCTCGCTTGGGAAAAAAAAAATATAATTTGAAAAGAACCGAAACAATACTGTAATTTTGCAGAAACCGGCAAAGCTTGCCCATGAAAGTGGAATTCAGATTTCTTCGTATGGAATGGGTCGCATGTTGTAAAAGTCACATAAATATTTTGCTCGAGCTATGTAGGCGTCTTTGGGAATGAGCAGGCAGATATGATGACTGGACTGGCCGGGTGTACTGCAACTGCACAAGGCAGAGGTGCCCTTTCGGCTGTGGGACGAGGCAACAAGTAAAATGGAAAACATCGAAAATCTTTACCCGGAGAGTGATGCAACAGGGAGGGTATGCGAACTCCGATCACCACTCGGGGAGAGGGGGTGGGGGCAAGACGAGTAGTTTACCTGATGACAGCTGGTATTGTCCGTACGCGGACTCTTCGCCGGTTATCGAGAAGAGAGACGCATCTAATATGGGCTTGTTCTGAATGCTGCAATGTCAAATTTTACCCAAAATTAGTAGAAAACAGGAAACAACTAGAGCATCATACAAAACGAAAATGGAAACTCATCTCGATTAACACGTCAGGCGCCGAGGACTCAGACACCAGAAGACAAAACAATACACGACAGGGAATACTTAGCCATTAAACCGGCACAAAGAAAACACTACCACGTGCAAAAATCACGCAGCCAGAGACAGACAACAGGACAACGATTTAGGAAAACTAAGTCTTTACACGTGTCTCAAGAAACAAGACCTTACTTATTGCCACTGCTGTGCGTTGCAGGTACAGCGTGTCCGAATATGTGTGCCCCACGACCCCCCCCCCCTTTCCCAGGATAAGATATTGCAATCAGCATGCCCCTCCCCCTTTTTTTTAACTAACGGGAAAAAATGCACAGGAACTCATAACAGTATATGAAGAACACGGCCTTCTCTATTTATATATACAGCCGGACGTGATGAAGAGTAGCTCGAGAAGGCAGCTTTTTACAAAATGAAGAATATCTGGTACAGCTCACGTTTTCTGGCCCAGAAACAGAGTGACTGCCCTTCCCATTCATGAATTTGTCGTGTCGCAAGGCGTGCGTTATCATCATCAAGTGT